GGTGTCCGACCCCATTCTTTATCTGTAGCCTCAATATGAGCATCCTTCTCAAGCAGCACTTTTACTACTGCCTCATATCCGTTCCTGGAGGCCCATAAGAGTGGTGTCCGACCCCATCCTTCATCTGTAGCCTCAACATGAGCACCCTTTTCCAGCAGCGCTTTTACCACTGCCTCATGGCCGTTCCCAGCGGCCCATGAGAGTGGTGTCCGACCCCTTTCCTTATCCGTAGCCTCAACATGAGCACCCTTTTCCAGCAGCGCTTTTACCACTGCCTCATTGCCGTTCCCAGCGGCCCATGAGAGTGGTGTCCGACCCCATTCTTTATCTGTAGCCTCAATATGAGCACCCTTTTCCAGCAGCAATTTTACCACTGCCTCATGGCCGTTCCAGGCGGCCCATGTGAGTAATGTTCGACCACCGTTATCTGCAAGGTTGAGGTCCGCAGTGTTCGTGGAAAGTAAGCTGAAGACCACCTCATACCCTTTTTTTGCCGCCCACAGTAGCATTTTTTGAATATCGATATCTTTGTTATTCGCCTTGGCACCTTTTTCGAGCAGCAATTTCATTATCGTTTCATGCCATCTTTCTACGGCCCACGATAGAGGTGTTCGGCCTTCCGCATCTTGTGACTCTAACTTTGCTCCTTTCTCAAGCAGAAGTTCAACTACCACATCGTGCCCATTTCGTGCAGCCCGTGACAGAGGCGTCTGTTGGAGAGAAGCGTCCTTTGCCTCAATATCCCCTTGCTTCTCTATAAGGAGTGACACGACATCCTTATGTCCGTTACCCGCAGCCAGCCAGAGTGGTGTGCATTGAGATTTTGATGGGGCGTTCACTTTTATTCGCTTTGCGCTTGAAAGCAATTCGCAGATTTCAATATGACCTTTGCTTGCTGCATAATGCAAAGCCGTATATCCTTCTAGGTTTGGCAAATTTACTTCGCAGAAACTCAGAAGAATCTTTATCGTTGCTTTATACCCAAGTTTTGCCGCGACATGCAGTGCAGGAAGGCTTTCACCGATTAGCGGAAGATTACAAACACGCTGTAAGTTACTTCCTGCACCTTGTGCTATTGTCAGAAGAGGTTCATGTTGCTCCTTCACTGCCCATCCAAAGAGACTATGGAGATGAGAGAATGCCGAACGGCCGCCAGGGACCCAAGGGTGAAAATTCCAGGTTTCATTGAAACACATTGCGAGCCGTTCAAACTTCTCCCATATTAATGATGTACGAGGTATCTGTTTGGTTTGCACGGCCCAGTTTGTGACGGCGTAATCGAGAAACTTGTACTGTGTTCGATCTGGAGTTGATGCTGTGCGTATCCCACGGAATGGCACGGAGACGGAACGGTTCTGATTCCGAGGCTCTCGGAAGAGGCGTCTGGTGAACGATCCAGGGAGGGTTTTTTGCGCAAGTAAGATGGGGGATGGAACAGCAACTGTAGCTTTTTCATTCCTTCTCGTGCTTAGTTGAAGACTAAAGTCCGAGAAAGAAAGATAAGCAACACAGAACTCTCCACACTCTAGGACGCCCTGTGCTGTGGTTGGATACCATTGGATAACGTTCCTTTCTCGGCTTTTCTCGAGATATTGTTTTACCGAGGAATGTGCAAATCGCACACGATCGTCAGTGGAATCCACGACAACAAGGTTTGCACAACAGCCGACAACAAATTCCTTTCGTGGAATCTTCTCGGCATTCCATGCAGTGTCTTCTGAGTCAAAGGCGATCGCCTCTCGCAATTCTTCGATATGAAGCGGACTGGTCGTAAAACTAACCCATTTGAGTACTTTGAGAGCACGGCTGTCCTTGCAATTGATTCTCTCAATACAACGCTCATATGTGTCTTCCAGGCCCCTTGGTAGCGCAGATAATGCGGACCGTATTTCTGCATCCGTGTGGCATGTGTCCCAAAGAATCTCCAGCTGGAGATATACCCATAGAAACCTATGCCAGTCAGTGTATAACCCACGGAATAAATTCTCATGGAAGTTTAGGGTCATCATACATTCCCGACGACTCTGCAAGAAGCCTCCGCTGAACCTCTTCTATCAGTAGAGGGTCATCAGTAAGTTTTCGGCACATAGTCTTGTCAGTGATGCTTGATTCGACGTAGGTCCCGATATCCTGCATGACATTGGCTGATGTCGAGATCTGACGAATTCCAGGCATGAATGTAGCGATGTTTATGTATCCTGGAACTTGATCCCTGCTTAGCAACAAAATGCGCGATCCTTGCTGGGTCCCGGAGTCATGGAATATAGACCTGAAGAGCTCCAAAAGGGATTTGGCATGTTCCTGATCCAAAGCATCAATCCCATCAACGACATATATCGTTTCCGACACGCAGTCGAAAAAGCGGGTAAAAATATCTTTTAGATCTTCAAGATCTGGCTGGACTCTCTTGTGTCCAAAGAACTTCCCAATCTCTCTTGCGATATCTTCCGGGAAAGATTTGGACGTCCGGCACAGGAATTCACAGAGTTGTTTGATGAAACTGGAGAGAATAGACGACGCGTCAAGTGCTGCATGATGCTCATTCTCGCAATAAAAAAAGACGGTGGGACAGCCGAGCTCATACTTCGCTGCGTCTATCGCTGCGGTTCTATTGATTGTTACATCATGATATCATATTGAACAGAAGGGTACCGGGAGACGAACGCTATCATCGTTTTGCCCGAGCCAACTAAAAAACAGCTGCACATCAGCATCGTGTTCAAAGCATGTATATGGAAAGCAGGCTTACTCTTCCCCGAGCACCACAAACTGGAAATTCTCTTCTCAGTGAACCAAGCTTTGAAATCCGGGTGATCAAGGAACCAGTGCGTGGTGCCGGTGAGTCGTTTCCGAGTGAGTCTTCGATGAATTTTCTCGTGATCATATTTTGAAATCCGCTCGAGTAATCCCCCGCCTTCTGGGCCATCTAAAATCTATCAGCTGGCACTTCATAAAGATTACTAACGCACTCACAATTTCGAACTATTTCATTGTTGGGGAAATTAATAGATGGTAGGTTTTCTCTGTAGTAGGATACTAGAGTTTATTAAAAAAACATGACTCGTTGTATAATTTGAGCAGACAGCATACCGTCGGAAATTGAGCCTGCTGGTAGAGTGTCCACCACATGGCTTGCATGGACCACAGAGAGAAGCTCTTTGCCGTAACCAGCAGCCGTTGCTGCTGCGTATTCTTGCCACTGTTTGTTTTTATGCGAGTCGGAATAGTCGCATATCCCTCGAATCACGAGGCAAGGGAAGTTGTCCATCAAGCCAGCCGCCTCCATTTCAAAGCAGAGAATGTCAAGTTCCCGGGCCAGGGTATCTCTGCTGAGGCCATGCTTCACCACTTGGTTTCCAGAGGCAATCAGACCGTAATAGATAACCGGATCATGGCTAGCTCGAGCAGGTCGTGCTACGAGTCTCCTTGTATCGCAGTTGCCGCAAGTTTTTCCTAAGTCAGTATGGTCGTATTCAGAATCAAACAATAGATCCTGATCTTCACCGCGATATGCGAATTTCTCTCTCATCCTGGGGTTCCTGTCTACCGCCTCTGAAAGAAGAGCAGGGATTCTGCTTGGCCCCAACTCATGCTCTGCTTGTAGTCTCGAGACCGCTGTTAAAAGCACTGGTGGTGGCTTATTCAGTACGCCAATACGTTCAAAGCGGCCACCAGTCACTGTTTTCCCATAATCGTACTGTATGACCCCTCCTGATTCCCTTGTCGGCTTGCTAACCACCACATCACCCAGCCGAATATCAACTTTTCCGCTTGGAACCCCCCCTCCGATGCCTATCATGAGGCCGAAGCGTATCGATTCGAAAGTGGACTGCATTTGTGTAGCCACTGTTGCGGCGGAGGTTGTACCATAAACACCCGATGGAAGGCATGCAATAGCCACATTATGACCATATATCCGACCTAGGATGTATGTGTTACTATCGTTTGGCCTCGCCGGTAAATCGTAATGTCTCTCATCTAGCATGGCTGCAGCCGCGGCCATCTCCAAGGGAAGGGCACAGATCCATGCGACCGTGTAATCCTGATGAAGAAATCTTCTAGTTGTAGTCGCCATATGGATTTATGCCGATAACTGTTGTCGTTTCCCGCGGAGGTAATGAATTCGGTGATGGATGGTAACGTTGGCCAGGCCTCCAGCGGTCCGTCTCTGCGATGATATAAAGAATAACAAGAGACACGGCATATAAGCCTATGCTCTATCATCTATGTAGGCATGTACGATGGCGACTCAATAATAAGACTTCAAGTTCGAAGTCATAGGCTGAGTTTTTCTGGCGAGATAAAGAGGGGTAATTAGGCGCCGAGCACGGGGCTGTGATACGGAGTGCATATCCCGGGCCAATGTGACTAACCATGGGAAAAGCTCAGAATAAGGAGATTGGTTCACAAGAAGCGAGGACTGTCATATTCAAGGTGCAGTAACATGACTTAATTCTATTGTGCTCAAGAGGACACCGACGGAATCTGTGCAGTGGGTGCTGGTAATCGGCACGACCATCGGTCGAAACCGACCTAGACCCGTCTCGTTGCCCTGCGCCCCGGAAACGACGAAATCCTTTGCATCTGCTGATGCGACAGTGGAGCGACGACAACCTTCGTATTCTTGAAGACTTGATAAATTCTTGGAAATATCGACGAAGGATGGTTACTGCATGGTATTGAACATTATGGTACGATTCATGGCTGGCGTTATTGCTCTATTTCGTGTTGCACTCACTTGACGTGGCATATTATCCGCTTGGCTGCAGTTCAGTAGTAGTAGTACTAATACTAGAATCTTTCGCCTTTGTTATTTAAAAGTCCCTGCTTTGAATGCAGGATTTCGCGGTCAGGAAGATAGAAATCTCTATTTCATATACAGCCGGGATTTTCCATAGTTGGTTCGTCCACCCTGTATGTTAAATGTACTGTGATGGATAAATGTCTTGGAGCGAGAAAACCTTCTGGGGTATAGACCTAGCTACGTTGACTAGTATAGACGGGAATTAATTCCTCTTTGGTTCTTTGTCACGGCCTGCTGTCTGCTATCAATTGTCCAACATGATAAGACTCTGTCTGTTTGATCATGATCGACTCATTGTGCATTCCCTCCTGACCGCAGAATGTATACGTAATATCCAACCTGGTCGCCGACTGCGCCCTTGGGATATGTATAAACGACAATGCCTCGATTCTCTGCCATGAGGGAACTTGCTCCATGCACTGTACCGTTTGCCCATCCTCAGCAGCACCCTCTTCAATTTCGATAATCCGCTCAACCAGCCTAGCAGTAGATATGCTATCCCAAGCCGCCTCTCGTATTGACTGCCGTCGCAAAATACCCACGACCCGACGACGAACAGCAGAATGCCGACACTTGGCGCCAATTATGTAAAGAACGGGGATGAATCCGATCTCGGGCGTAAACGTCGACCTTGACGACCCCCCGGAATACCGCTGATGTGCCGCCGCTACCTCGCCCGCCAATACGACGCATTGCTGGAATTGGGGAAGGAAGTTGTCATAGTCCATTTCTTTAACGGGTCCGTAACCAATGAGGAGAATCCATGCGATAGTGTGTTGTAAGCGCAGGAGTGGGACGAGAGGGTCGGTTTCAAAGTCTGACCCAGAGGGTCTGCCTTGGCCTTGTTGAAGGAGGTTTTCGAAGAGACTCGACCACGTTTCTAACTGCCCGAGAACAATGTCCTTGAGTGAAGAAGGTAATGGCGGCATCGTACCCGTCGGGGACAATTGTTGCTCTGTGTTGCGCAGCCTCATTACCTGAGCGACGAGAATCTGAAGGTGGTCAGCAGCTTGGTCGAGTGACCAAAAGGTACTGTCGAAGAGTGAAAGACGGGACATAGATATCTCTTGGATGTTGGCTGGAGTCCAGTCAACTAGAAACATGACGGCCTGCATATCAAGACGGCGAATCTGTTCTGTGACCTGGCAGATAATCGCGTTAACACTCGAGGATTTGTTCAATGCAGCGTTGTCGACGTCACATGAGAGCTCCACACCTCCGCGCAAGTGTTTCATTGCTTGTACGTCGTCGCCCACCAGATGATCAAAGCAGGTAAAGAGATAGCAGACCAAAAGCGTGAAAGCTGTTTTTTCGGCGCTGTCACCACTTTCCGGGCTCAGCAGAAGTTGAATGGCGCGGTTATAGTGAAGCAAAGGAGTCCTATCCGGTAGCGGGTCTTTCAAGGACGGCGATTGATACGCCCGACCGTTAGAATGAGGATCCAGGTGGCTTCGGTGAATTAAAGCCAGAGCAATGGCAGCATGTCGCACTGATGACACTGTTTGGGAGAAGAACATGAGAGTGTTCCGCCATCGTTCGCAAGGGCGGTATTCATTCAGATCCTTGATCGAAACATCAATGAAAAAGCACATTGCCTCTGCCTGGGTTGACCCAGTCATGGGTAAGATCATAAAGGATCCCAGATTCTGCAAAATGGCGCCATTTGACTCGTAGGCACTGATCTTGGTACATGGGTAGTGACTGTCGTAGCTATCTCCTCGTTCGGCGATCTCCGTGTGATAATGAGTTGATTCAATCTCGGTCTTCTCGGTCTTGAATGCGAGGGGCATTTCACCATAGCCATCGCAGGTGCGACCGGTAGACCGGCATTTCAAGCATGAAGGCCGAGATAGATCGCATTTAACTCGTCTTATCCTGAGAGATGTCAGTTTCGAAGTCTTTGAACACAATCGACCGCTCTATAGCAATACGTAAAGTCAAGACATACTTGCAAGTCTTACAGCCTAGTCTTGACTTTGGAGCGAACCTGCGAGGCTTTCTTCTCCAGGCTTGATTGTCTGTCTTGGTGTTCTTGTTCTTCATCTCATTCATCACGGTGGTGTGAGGTGTAAAAGATTTGCAGCTCGCACCGTTTCAGGCAGAGGTCAATTTCGAGGCCAACACGACCCGTAAGCCACCAACTGATGCATTGGCTCGTTCGTACATGCGGGGCCCCTATAAATGAATAACTATGAGTGGCCTATATCTTGCTTGCTAGAGACTAGTGCAATCGTGATAGCTACTGATTGGTTAGTTCGTACAACTGGGGCGCCAAGGAAGGCGATCCTCTTCCTCTTCCTCTTCCTCTTCAATTATTTAGGATAAGGGGGCTACACAAATTCTTGGTTATCCTTTTAGAGATCAAAATAATAATGAGTGGCCGATTCGTACAGGTGGATAAGAGGTATTGTGGGTTATGGGAAGAATGCAGCTGCCTATTGAAACCGTCACATTTGATACTACTGTATAAATAGTTCCTAGATATCGCAATGATGTCGGCTCTTGCGAGCAACTGAACGGAAAGCTAAACGAGAAGCCCCAAGGAATTGCAATGAACCGACTCGTCAATACGGCCATCCTTTTCATGAGCTTGGGACTTAAAGCCCACAGTTTGCATGATCGGGACATGGTCTATGGATTTGACACTGTAAGTCCGGGACTTGACGGTACCACATTGCCCAAGGGTTTCAAGGTCTCTGACGAGCCATCTAGATTGAACCATCAGCCAACCTCACATGGACACCATGTTTCGATGCCTTCAATTGCTCTCGGCTGGAAGTTCCTTTGGATTATTCAAACAAAAGTCTTGGCACCACTTCGATTGCCTTCATCAAGCTGGCTGGCAAAAATGCCACCCTCGAGTCTCCAAGCATTGTGCTTATCCCCGGTAAGATCTCTGTCTGAACCTCATTTGACTCGACTGAGATTTCGCTAGGTGGACCGGGTGGTTCTGGTGTCGACCTACTCCTAACATTCCAGAATCTCATTGGGGAGATGCTAGGAGAGCAGTACAACTTCGTCTCCTTTGACCCTCGCGGTGTGAACAACAGTGGCTTGCATCTCGACTGCTTCTCGGGGAATAAAAAAGCAAGATTGGCGTTCTATCGACTGCACAGAACAGGAGCTACTAATATCTCATCAACATCTCTTGAGGAGCAGTACTATTCAAGCTCTATCTACGGCGAGTGGTGCAACAATGCCGTCGAGAGCAAGTCACCCCATTCATATTATGTGACTACGCCAGCCGTTGCCCATGATTTGCTCACCTTCACCGAAGCGGAGGCCGAGTTGGCCGGTCAGTCACCATCAACCGCGAAATTGTGGTGCTATGGCGTCAGTTACGGCACTGTCATCGGCAGCACGTTCGCTTCCCTGTTCCCTGACCGCGTGGGGAGAATGATCTTCGATGGTCTTATCAACGCAGAGCAATATTACAACAACTATTGGACAGACAACCTTGATCAAATGGACGAGGCCATGGAAACATTCTCGACCTTCTGCCATTCCGCAGGGCCTGAAAAGTGCTCGTTTTGGGGACCCACGCCGGCGAACATCACGTCAAGAATGGATGGCATCATTCGTCAGCTTCAGGACCATCCAGTCCCGCTCAGCGGCACCGGAGATTCAGACTTGCCGACAATGGTCACCTATTCAGACCTGAAGACTATGTTTCTCAACACACTGTACGCCTCACTGGCAGGGTTTCCAAGCATGGCCGATATCCTGCACCAGGCCGAGCGTGGGAATGTCTATGCCCTTGCGGGCATGTATGACCAGTCAAATCCTATAAGCGATGCCCGTCTCGCCATTACATGCACCGATTCGTACCGGAGAAACAAGCTTACTACCATAGAAGAGTTCAACAATTGGGTGGAATACACAATTTCCAAGAGCGAGTACATCGGTGATATCTACCCCGGCCTCCTGGAAGGTATCTTATGCCGATCATTCCGCCCGCAGTTGCCTGATAGCATGGTAGTTCAAGGTATTCGACCCTCCTTTTGTCTCTTTCTGTCTCTCTCTTTCGGTATTCTATAAGCATGCGTCTTCGACAAAACGGGGTGACCATCTGCATTGAAAACAAAGTCTAACCAGGATTTGATGCAGATGAAATCAGTGCACTAAATAAGTCTACATCCTTTCCGATCCTTTTTGCGAGCAACACTATCGACCCTATCACGCCGTTAATATCGTATGTTTTATCCAAATCGCATCGCCATTGGAAATGTTACCACGGAGTAGCTGACATGATCTCGTCACAGGGCGCGCAAGATGTCTTCTCGGTTTGCCGGATCAGTACTTTTAATGCAAGAAGCCGTTGGTGTAAGTTTGTTATCAATTCCTCAATCCTTACAGCCATCTCGACCAAGAAAGAGTGTAGGCTTACTTGCGGGATGTTTTTCCTTTGAATACAGCATACGGTCATCAACCAGGGGGGGTCAAACTGTTACTTCCGACATATTCAGGCATACCTCCAAGGCACAGTTCCATCGTCCAACACTACATGTCCCCAACAGTATATTCCTTTCATAGATGTCTCTCCGGTTTGAATACCGCCAAAGTCATGGGAGAAAAGGACGGTCAATTTGAGGAACGAACCTAACGGTGCCAAATAAGTGCTTAATTGTCAAAGTATGTGGCTCATACACTCATTCTAGGGTAGCTAATTATACCCCATTCCTTCTTCTTGGATCCTCGACAACAAGAATACACATACCCCGTACCAATTATTGAGTGGTTGATTCTTAGCGAAAGCTAGACACATCATACTCATATCAACCCATCTCACCCCCTCTACCCAATCCCACCATCAAGCACATGTTAGGTATGTCTATGTCTAAAAGTCAACACGCAACCCTAATTCTCATCCTCAGCCTGCGCCAATCCCTTCAAGATAGCCATTCCCTCTTCTGCATCGTCATCACTCGCCGCCTTCAGACCATAGCTCGCCAGGAAGAGAGTCCAGCCGCCGTAGGACTTGACGATGGCGCGTTCGGTTGGGGTGAGAGTGGGTTCTGTTTAGTTATTTAGTTAGGGTCTGTTGCTGTGTTGTGCTTGTTGGTTGAGGATTTAAGGTTCTCTGTAGAGTAAAGGGGGGGAAGACAATGTACGAAGAGTATAAGGCATGATTATTTTTGTTTTCTTTCTGGTGGGTTTGATTGGGTTCGCTTTCCTCGGAGAGGGAAGTAGAGGAGAGCAGAATTGAGTTTTTGCTTCGAGCGTGAATGTTTATAAGTAATTAAATTGCCAAGAAGAACTAGGTAAAAATACTTAGCTGATAAAGATGAAGATTGAGTAGGTTAAGAGAGTGAAAGAAGAAGAAAGAGGAGGAGTCAATACCTACCTAGCCGGTCTACATGTAAGGAGGGAATGAATGTCTTAGACACCTCGCCCTTCCTCTATGTATCTTCCTACGCAACCATCTTGTCGAATATCGGAACTGGTTGGATACCTTAGATTCTTATACAGTACTTCGCATGTGTATGTTGATGCTTTACTAGTTTATCCTGCATTATACTGACTCATTGTACATGGTTTGAAGCTCAATCCGATGTCTCAGCTATTTTTTTTAAGAGCAAGCTGTCGACGTTTCCAAGAAATTATCAAGTCTATGGCCACGCAGTAGAGTACTCTTGCGACGTGGCCCATGTTCTGGGAGTCAACCTTCTTCCCTTCCTGCGTGCTGCCTTTTGTATATTAAACTTTGGAATCCCACCTAATCAATTATACAAATAATTCTTTGTGACAAAATTTTACTTGCATCGCATCCTGGTGATTGCTATCCTGGTTCCCAGCCACGTCATCACATAAGACCCTTGCAATTTATCCCTGGCCGAACTCTGACCCCTTCGTGCTAAATCCTTGGTCTATTTTGTGATTGGCGTATCAACAAAATTGGAAGCCTAACCAGTCATAGGCAAACCAAATTGTGACTAAAAAAACAGGCCCCCTGATTCTGAGTCTGACACATTAATTATTTCTCCGGGCTCTGGAGCGTGACTTGGATCCTGCTCAAAATTCCAGGATACCCCCTTTTTTGAAGTCGGAACTTCGAGTTGCGGTTCCTATAGACTAATTTGATGCTTCTGTTTTCTCGTATCCGTTAACTCACACGAAATATGATGGTTCCTCGATGTCTTCTCGCCCATTCCCATCCTCATCTTCGACACGAAGTCATGCTCACTCGGTTGCGTCTCCGGCTACCGAGTCGTAATCATCACCACACTCAAGTCAGAAATGTCCGAAAAAAACCAGATGCAGTTCCTCGAGGTCCAACTCCGATGCCTCAGGCCCAAAAGCCCCATCGACCCATTGCATCACTAGTTGATTGGTTTTTACACTCTCAAAGCCGCCGACCATACATGACCCAACTATGCCTCACACCGCTGATCTTCTGTCTCGGGGACCTTTCCGCACAAATGATAGGAGACGAAGAGTTCGACTATCATCGCTCGCTACGAAGCGTCATCATCGGTCTTTTGATCGCGATCCCTAGCCACGAATGGTTCCTGTTCTTAGGACGGCAGTTCAACTACAACTCCCCCTCTCTGTCCTTGGGAGCAAAAGTAGCTGCCAACCAAACTGTTTACACTCCTTTGTTCAATGTCTATTTTTTTGCGTTTCATGGCCTCCTCGCCGGGGAGGGGTTTTGGGGGGCGATTGAACGAGTGAAAGATAGAGCATCGATAAGTATTCCTAGAAGCTTTCTATATTGGCCAGTAGTGACGGCGTTCAACTTTTCATATATCAAACCGCAGTCGAGATCGATTGTGACTTCGATATTCTCTGTTTTCTGGCAATCGTACTTGAGTTGGTTGAATAGTTCTGCTGGAAGGGGGGTAGGAAAGCCCAAGGGTAACAGCTAGAAAGATCATCGACAATAAAGAATGGGTCGTGTTAGACCGACACCCCCATTTCCTATTCGGTTTAGCGTGGCCATGTGATACGGAAATTTGGCACTTAGTATAAACGCCATAGATCATTATCTTGAAGCCTTATAATGATCTCAAATGGGCAGTTAGTCTTGTTTGTGCTAGTTTTGCGTTTCCGCTGGCCTTCTTCAAGACGGACATATCGACTTCCTCGGTCACATTTAATCCATATATTCTTTACATGGGAGCCAGATTTGACCATTTTAACACGCTTTTTATTGAGTGCATAGCTATAATTATGTCCATGAGCGTTGAGGATTTCAATGACTTCATCATATGAATCGAATTATTGAGTTTGTAGTCCGGGGGGATGAGGGATACGATCATGAAGTTGCTCATTCAATTCCTCTTCTTCGAATTGCTCATTCCACTGCTCGTTGGGAGGATCGTCGCTCTCGTAGCCTTGAAGATAACCATTTAATGAAGCTATTATTACTGTATACAGTAACGTGCTGCAGTAATAATGACGGCGACGGCGATAGCAACATACAATATTCAGCATATGCACTTGGTGGCGAATATACAGCTTACCCTATGATAAGATCCCTATAATACAGCCAAAAAAGGAAATTCGCGCGTGGTCTAAGCTTGAATAGGACTAGTACATCACGTGGGGGGTGTCGGGGTAACGTAGGGGGTGTCGGTCTAACACGACCCTAAAGAATTGACTGTATTCTTGAATCAGAGTCAGAGCGGCTGAATTGTCGAACACCTATCTTGTTTTGGTATAGGGGACCCCTAAATTTTTGATATCCTATTCTGGCGTCCGCGTAGGAATCCGGGGCATCCCTATAACCGATCCCTGCCCTCAAGCATCACACATATAGTGTCTCGCTTAGGTCCGGATTACGCTCGGAGCTATTTCTACCCCCGGCCATCTGCGACCTCGTACCTCTTCGTATCTTTTCCTTCTTCGGCCAGCCATTTCCGCGCAGCTAAGGTCCTGCCTTCATATACATATATATATAGTCGCTTCGTCGCCATGCCAGACGAAGAACATCATGAAGCCTCAATTCGAAACGCCGCTCGACCCAACGATGCGGAACCCAAAGACCAGAGCGCCATGGAAGTCCTCCTACTCGATCGCTTCACATGGGCTAACTACACCTGCACGCAATCCACCGGCGGCGTAGCGATTCTCCTATCCCAAACCCCCCATCAATTCCGTGGCCTCCAAACCGCCGGCGTCGTAGTCTTCATCCTCAACCTAGTTCTATTCACCCTTTTCACCACAGCCATGATCACCCGATTCATCCAGAGACCGTCCAACATCCGCAAATCCCTCACGAAACCCCCAGAAGCCTACTTCGCCGGTTCGCTCTGGCTCTCAATAGCGACCATCATCATATGCACGCAGCGTTTCGGCACTCCGCACACGGGTTCATGGATCCTCGTCGCCGTGCGGGTTCTCTTCTGGACCTACGCGGCTATCACATTGACGTATAACATCGCCATCTTCGTCATCATGTTTGTCACTCGCCCCCTCGCGCCAGGCGTCATGCACCCGCCGATGTTTCTGATGATCTACAACGCCATGTTGACCGGCACCGTCGCGGCGTGCATCGCAGCCAATCAGCCCCCTTCACAACGAATGGCCATCATTGTAGCCGGGGTTACCTTCCAAGGTCTTGGGTGGATGTTATGTCTTCTCTTCCTTCCGCTCTTCGTATCAAACATGCTCATTCATGGTCTTGGCCCGGTAAACCAGCGCCCCGGCCTCTTCATCTCCGTGGGTTCATCAGGCTACACCATCGTGGCGCTTATTGGGTGTGCAAGGGCGATTCCTAACGACTACGGATACTTCGCGAAACACCCTACCGCATCCGAAACGTTGAATATCATGGCCCTATGGATAAGTATATTCCTATGGCTTTTCACGTTCTGGTTATTCGCGATAGCGCTAGTTTCTCATGTACCCATTCTAATATCCAAATGGGGCAATGATAGTAATATGGCGCAAGGACAGATGAGTTTCACACTTCCTTGGTGGGCTATCATCTTCCCAAATGTGGGCTTCACGATTGCTACGATTTATATTGGCGAGGAGCTGGAATCGGACGCTCTTGCTTGGGTGGGAACCGTCATGGCGGTGCTGGTCTTTGTGGCGTGGCTTATGGACCTGTTCTTGCATCTCAAGTCAATATTTCAACGGCGGATCATGTAACTAACGCTGGCTACTTAGTAGGTAGGTAGGTAGTTGGGTGGGTGACCAGCAGCGAATCCCGGCTGTTATACAGTATGTATATATGTACCTATACGTACTGGAATTTCTAGCACAACTGAGGATTTCCTCTTTTGGGTGCCACCACTTTAGTCAAAGCACTTGGGGCCTAGCCCAGTAAATAAAATATATCGTAGATTATCGCTCAGTAAACACTCAGGAAAGCGGTTTGCAACCCTCCGTTGTCCCTCAGGTGCAATGTGTACAGAGTACTGCAGGCAGGGCTTACGGGGAGGTTGGTGATACGTTCTATAGTGGTGGCGACACAACTTAATTAACTACTGTACTCACGTCTTCTAATAATCATCGGAAAGAGTTTTGCCTGTCAGTGGCACATCTAGTTAAGTGCGTGCTGATTCATGCACAAAATATCTAGTTAACTACAGCACCTAGCTAGGGTTATAATTCATTCTATCTAATTCAGATAAAATCCAGCCCACCGACCATATCAGACCGTCTCAATCACCCATGTATCTATCTATCTATCTCTCTCTCCATCGATCCTTGACATCTTCCCCACCCGCGCCGCCCCCGGATTCATCAGAAATCCCAACATACATCATGAGCCTAACGACCGACCAGCTTCATGTCGCTCATTCGCCTGCCTGATAAACTCGTCCCGATATTCTTTCGCCAGGTCTCTGCTATTGCGATACGCGCTCACACCCTGTTGGTAGGATTCTGGACTCCCGATCAAGGAGTAATACCCGACCTGGGTCATCGCGTAATCCGTCTGACGGTCTGCGCCGGGGTTAATATTGCTCGGAATCCGCGTCGGATGGGTCACGTAGATTCCCAGTGTTCCCTTTTGGAAGGTAGAAGCGATCGCATAGGCGTGGTTATCGTGAGTGGAATCATGGGTAGGGCTAGAAGCAGGCGCAGGATCAGAGCAATCGTCGTTATCCTGCGGTCGGTTGCTGCTGTTGCTGCTGCTGCGGTACTCCTCTTGCGCATGTCCATATTGCTGGAGGGAATGTATCGCTCGGGCGCCTAAAGCGCTATCATACAAGGCCTGACGTTGCAGCACGGACGGCGAGCCACAGTGGCCCTTTGCCTCGACGAAGAAATTAGGCATGATGGGACGGTTGCCCTGCCGGGTGGGGATGATCTGGTCACTGAGCTGTTCCCGGACACGAGGATGCAGCTGGTAAGGCGGCGCGCCGTGATAAATATCAGGCTTGGCATTAGCGAGGGTGCCGTTCGTGAGCGGCGCCAGATTTGTGAATAAGTGATTGCCGCCATCATGGAAGGACGCTTGTTGCGGACCGTCGAAAATCGGAAGAATTTTCTTGATCACGAGCTGCTCGTCGGGGGTCCTGTCGTTGAGTCGCTAGAATTCTTTATATTCTTGACGCAGGGAAGCTTCGGACAATGCGAGAGACGGACGATGGGCTCGTAGACATCTTTGAATCTCGGCGATGTTCTCCGGTTCACAGACGTCGGTCTCATCTGGGTATGTAGAATTGGGCAAAAAAATACCGTGGTCAGTCAGGTGGCTTTCAAAGTGTAGATCGTAAACAGTCGTGTTTCCGGTCTTTGGAGTTAGCCCCCTCGAGCTGGAGTCGGTAGGATCCATTGAGTACTGACTGAAGTGGACTGGTGCGGGATACTAGAAGCAAGACTTGCCTGGTTAGTATGCTATGCATCTATTCTATAGAGAAGCGTCTTGGAGAGGGGGGGTAGAGTGACTAAACCCACGTTTCTGATGTCTGATAGATCCGGCCCTCCACGGCGGGAAAGTTTTCTGATCTCTTGTAAACAAGTAGCTGAGCAATTGCGCAAGAAATCCGGGGCCGAAGGTATGAGGGCGAGGAGACGAGCTGCTCTGATTTGAAGATAAGTGGTATCGTCGGTCAGCTTCTCGTAACGCGCTCTTAGTTAACCACAGCTTCGTGAGTTTCTCCCAAAACAAGGGAGGAGGATGGAACGAGCGACGTTTCCGTTGTCGAAGCTGATCCTTGGAGGACGGCATATAGAGATTCTGTACAGGTAGAGCAATCGAAGAGAAGACTGTAGAGATTAGAAATCCAGACCTGTTGATGGGAGGCATTTCATGGGCACCTAAGATAAAGAGATTATTGTGAAACAAGCATGATTGGGCTGGTCCCTGGCCGGGTTAGAACAAAGAGAATGGGTAGCATCACCACAAAACATCATGATGTGGACAAAGCAGAATGAGACAGACAACACAGTTGGGTAAGACAAGCTACGTATAACTGGGTAGTAACAACATCTTATAAGATCGGGCCCTGCTATTTATAGTATACTAACCAAACCAGGAATCAATCCCCAAGGAAGTAAAATGTCAAGGAGATTTGGGGCCACGGCATAATTTGTAGAAAAACAAGACAGAATACGTCGTAACCTCAGAAGGCGCCTACAGCCTATAATTTAGTGCTGAATTGTTCAAAAAGGCAATAAAATCTATCGGGATATATTTTTTTGTTATAAAGGAGAACAAACCGTTTTATGTGAGTTATCAACGTCACACAATGATCCATCTACTTGATATCGATAAGGATTACCTTTGCAGTAAATTAACTTCTTGTCCGGAATGAAGGTACATCAGGTCTAACATCATGCTTACTGATGTTTTATAATCCCAGCTATAGTTGACATAACTTGCTCAGCCTACATATAATAAGTCACCTGAGACAATCTAAATAGCAGAGGCATAAGAATAAATACATTTTGTGACTTTAAGCAAGATTTGACAATGGTGCGGTATGGATAGTCAGGAAACTTCTTCAAACACAAAGTATACATACAACTACTATACTACAGCTTCTAGAATTGCCTCCGACATATGCCTGTATTCGAAATCTGCCTATCCGTGCATGATGGAGTCACGCAGCTGTCCCTATCCTGGGCTCGACAAAATTCAAGATGGCTCAGATTTGGACCTTCAATTATTGGAGCTTACCCTTAGATTTGGGCATCAAGCTGCACAGCAAGAACTCAAAAGACGAAAAGCTGATTTTATACTAGCAGAAGAATCACAGACATTATTACGCATTATCTCTCAATTTCAAAGGAACATTAAGAGCACACGGTCTCTGGACCAGATACAAAACAAAATTTATCACAGATGCAGGGTCTTGCTTGGCTTTCTGTCACTATAATCAAAAGTATAGCTTGAAGACGAGGCATTTGAGTTTTTAGATGCCTTAACTGGGCCTACTTGTGACTATAACTCTTTTTTCACTCCAGGGAACTCCTGAAAAAGCTGGGTTTTTGAACTTATATTCTTTGTCTTCAGGCATATTAGCTTTGAGGTTGCAGAGGTACTTGTTGTTAGCTTTGACGGAATCTCTCGACAACTTACTATTGCGGACGTCATTCAGCTAGCCCAATATCTCTATCAATATAGGGATGATATTCTACATGGTCGTGAAATACCCGGGAACACCAATACCGATACAGATACAGATATAAGCCCTGTCTCTAAGAAGCGCAGACTCAACCCATCATCTGGTAAGTCCCCCAAGTATGAATTCGACGCCATTACTGACCTTGAGCTATCTATGAACTCACTTGCAGCTCCTTCTAGTCCTCTCTTGCCGGAAGACTGCCTTTCTCTGCTTTAGGGTGACTTTGCCGGGTATAATATTCTTGCTATCTTTTTTGACCGAGCGCGGGCCTCATTGAAATTCTGGGCAGATGACAGTTCTTATTCAGAAATGACAATCAAAGACATTGGTGTCCATCTAGATATCTGTAAATGGATCTTCTTCAAGGACCTCTCAGCTCATGTCCAGGACGAAGGAGTAGATACAGCCTCAGTGAGAAGGAAAAGTCCCAAATCGGGTATACAGTCAATTGATTCCCAGAAACTGCTGTACTTTGTATTTCCTAGGGATCCGTTCTTCGAGAAGGAGTAAGTTCAAACTTCGCTTGAGTCATCAATAATGCTAATAGGTACTTTTTGATCTTTAGGTTTCATACAGTTGGCAAGGAGTTATTTTTTCTCCTTGAGTACTGTATTGACTACTACATGCATGATCCACTGCCCCACGATATAAAGATTGCAGCAATTGAGAGTCTGGTATCTACCTCAAAGCTAAAATGGGCATCGCTTCAGAAGACTTTAATCAAAGCCGGGAATTTGCTCGACGAGACTCTGCCCGAGTATCTACACATACTTGTCGCTCATCAGTGGAGTGTTCAATTCCGGCTACAATCGGATTTTATTGGCTCTGAGCAAGTTATTCATCAGTACTGTATGCGATCCAAACAGCCGGTTACTGGACGAGAGTATGCCCTGAGAATGCAATTACACGTTTCACACTTGGAGAAGCTGATACAAACAGAGCGATATAACCAGGCAAACAAAGAGGTAGGAGAATGGAAAATACAAGAGTTCAATTCAGCAATGAGCTCTCAGGTTGCGCCTAGTCAGACTTTGGTCATTTATAAGCTTGACCGCTGTCAGGGCAATTTTGACGAGGTCTATACAGCCCTGGAAAGCTGCTATAACAGAATCAAGGAGAAAATGGCTCTCGCCATTACCAGGTTCTTTGCGGATTAGTAGATATTTGCACTGATCGAAATAAACTGAACGATGTCAAGGGCCTCCTTCAAAATACAAGGACTACTCTTCTGCAGAAGCATCAATCCCGTCCAGATCCCCGTCCAGGATCTCACCCAGGCTGCGGCAAGGCTCTCCGACGGATACTAGTCTCCTCGGTAGACCGCGCTATAGCGAAAAAGAAGTGGGGGAAGGCACGATCTTTCCTTTGGAACAACCTTTGACGACCTGGTCAACCCTGATGTTAGCGACCAAATGTTACATATTCGCACTCCTTTTGCGGCTGCCCGAGTATCATTCATGCAAGAAGACTTAAGTAACACCATTAAACTTTGGAGTCAAGCTTCAGACGCTGTTCAGAGACATCCCAGTTTTAAAAGCAAAGGTTTTGCCTACGCAACCTGTCGGCTCTCATCAAGCCTATGCTTTCTGGAGTTAAGTAGGAAGAATCCTACTTGCAAGTTAGCCCTTTTGCAAGCTGGTCGCAATGCATTTGACGAGGCGGAACCTATATTGCGCCTTATTATGGAGGATTACTGGTTACCAACAATCGCACTGCAGAAGCTTCCCTACGTACGATCCAGGATTCATGTGCTGGAAGGATGGGGTATAAAAGAGACTGACTAGTGATGACTCTTGTCTTGGCCTGATGTACCCGTTACCAAAACTATGCTAGAATAGGTATGGTAGTTTCGCGGCTTGGCAAAAATTGACTGGCCCATCGTTTTAATATTCAACTATCTTCGGTCCATCCAAGGCAGGACTTTGATTGTAAACATTCGCCAATGCTGTTGAAATAGTTTATTATACCGCATGTATCGACTTTGTTAAGCGTCTTAACAATCCAAAAATGAATAATTCCGCCAACTGTAAAAATGCAAACTTTCTCTTCTAGATACAAGTACAGTTAGGTATTAAATCCATCTATAACAGATATTTTAATATACTTTCTTACCTTCTCTTGAGTCTCCTAGCAGACTTGATATACTAATAAACATGTCTTTAATCATTTTCTTTAATTCTTTCTGTAATTCACTTAGTTTTAGGCAGTCTATTAGGATGTATATAATTCTTTTTTGGTACCATATATATAATACATGAAGAATAATAAGCAACCTAGCCTAAAAAGGCAGCTAGAAGAGACATAACTTTTGAACTATGGAAATAACAGAAAAATCTGCATTATCCTCGGGGATCGGTAGTTACCAATACCGATGTCCGGAATAGGAAGGTCTCCTATGTGACTAGCGGTCACATACGGTTGACAGTCTTCGACTAGGAACCGACCCTCCACGCGCGCAGCGGCGAATTAACCTCTGCATCGACCAAGACGAAAAAGATCGAATAAGATCAAGATCAGCTATGGCGCGCTCAGGCCGTAAGGAATTTGACCCCTACCTGACCGCTCTGCTGAGTGGGGACGAGGCCGGCAGCGACTCGATCTCGAAGGATGAGTTCTTCGCATACTGCAAGGACGACCCGCACTGACTCTACCAGATGGTAGAGAACCTCTATGTTGAAGTACTAGAGGAGAACAAATGACTCGAAACTTTGGCGGGCGAACAGGAGCTTACTTCTCAAGAATAGGGGGCAAAAGCTGCCTCGCTCAAGGAAGAAGTGATTTAGAGGCCCTAGATCCTCGCTCCTAGATAGCCTTTCCTCTCCATGGGAAAATTCCTTGACTACGAGTCATAAATAAACTTATCTTTTACTAAGCTCCTTTGTAGACCGTCACAAGAGATATGGTACTCGATGAAAGTCAAGCAGCCCCCGACCCTTGTTGAGTCTCACTGTGTATACCTTCCTATTAAGTACCGAAATTTCGTATTAGATTTCCAGATATAGAGGAGTAAGTCTAAAAATGGGGATTCCAATCCAAGAAATGCCTTGCACGCTTCAGGACGCAGAGAAAGTTGCTGATATGCAAAGCATCGTTATTTATCCGGAAGGTTACAGAAGAATTGGAGTATTCCTTTTCAGAGCAAGCTTGAGCGACTCGCAAGAGAAAGAGGTTTTTCAATTTATTGCATCACGCACCGGGTCTTTTACCCTTGATTTTAAAAATAGCTATGGCGGGTCTTTTCTGACATTAAAAGTTGAAGAAGCGCATATGGCGCGTAAAGTAGCAAGAGTTGCCAGTATGTTAGCTATCATTTCCTCTTGTGCATGCTGACCTGAAAAAGAACTATCAGGCTTTATCCGGACCAAAACTCTAATGATATGTATGGTGAGGTAAACTAAATAATATATTACAGGCTAGAATAGTTAAGGCTGTGTTGGACTTCGCTGAAACGTTATAGTAGTTCTATTCTCTCTTTACCTGTTGCTTTTCTGTACTCATATTGCCAATGCCACTAACGCTAGATCTCAATTATTGTATTTTTCATTCCCCTAGGTATATCTATACATATTACCATCCAGCCAAATCCATACATACATACATACAATAAACAATCCTATACTAATACCATCATAGAAAGAAAAAGAAGTAAACAGTAAATGAAGAAGACTCATCAAACCAACCCCCACAGGAAGTCCAGACACAGTGCATAGTGAAGAGTAAAGTAGACCCCTAACTCATGCACCCCCTACCGAACTAACCCAAACCAAGCACCAAGGTGATGAATCAATCATCCCATTAATCAACCTTCTTCGTATCCCCCTCCTCTTCGAAGTCAATTCTCTTTCCGAACAGCACCGTCCGTCCAAGTCCCACACCAAGAGCGTATCCGATATATGCGCCTACCAGGATCGTAATCGGGTATGCCTGCCACGGACGATCCCTACATTCATAGAACACGTTAGCCAAACCAAGCCTACATCCTCTACCATAAACCCCAGCACCAACAAAAAACCCCCCAAGGAGAAATCAAATGGAAGAGAAGGGAAGGGGGGAGACAAACCAATCCAACGGAATCGGCACAGCACCCAACCAAGCACCCAGACCCGTCCCCAGCGCACCACCCCAAACAACATCCAAGGGTCTCGCGGCGCCCCATACCTCCTTCCACACGGAGCCGTCGACGCCATGGACGTAGATAAGGCCGGTGGAGGTCAAAAGAGCCATGTGCGCGGCGCACAGCAGGGTCTGCAAATGGTGGGTTGTGATCGGGGCACCGAAGAGGACGAGTAGGGCGGCGAAGACAGGAGTCGCGAGGAGGAAGGTTAGGATGAGAGAGAGGAGGGCGGGCTGTTCAGTTTGAATCAAATCATATCACGTCAGTATTCGTGCTTAACTAGTTACTTTATTGACTTCCGTCGCTCCGCCGGACTATGTGTCCATATTCCGGAGGGAAGACATACAATCAACTTCGCAACAAAGCTCCCAGACGAAGAATCATTCTTCGCACTTCGTCGACGATAGCCCACTTTCCCGGGCTTCAAGACCACGCTGCCAGCCGACCCCCCGGACGGAGACGCCGGGGCTTTATCTTTCTTGTCGTCGACGTCCACAGTCTCCGGCTTAGACGACAACACGGATCCCGCGGGAGGCAGACAGATCATGACGAAGATCAGCTGCAGCAGGGCCAGCAGTGGGAGGTCATTCAGCAGTTCGGCGACCGGGTCCGTCGTCAAGGACTGGAATCGCAGGGCCAGGAGGCCGAGGAGAAGACATGGGTTGAGGAAGACGTAGGTTTGGGCCAGAGGGGTCGGCAGGACGGGGATGGCGGGCGACGCGGGAGACACGGGAGGGACGTTGGTAGATGGTGACGTGGGTGTTGAAGTCATTGTGAATGGATTGGGGCTTGCGCCCGGTTGAGGATGCGCTTGTTGGTTGAGCGTGACGAAGAGGAAGGAAGCACTTGGGATAATTCGGTCGGGGACAAAGGCGTTCGGAGATTCGGAGTTTGTTTGACGGGTTTGACAGGTGGGTGCCTGACTGCCTGGAAGTCAAGGTGTCTACTCCACCTGCGGCCGACAACGGTGTACTCCGGTCACTACTGAGTCCTCCGTACAACGTACTCGTCGGACATTGGAAATCAAATCTATTGATACACGAAGCAATTATAAATAAATATAACATCCACTCCATTCGACTGACTGTTCAGCCATCACAACCAATCATCCATGATTCGTAACCCATAAAGCATCAGCAAATGACAACGGGGTATGACAGGAAGCTAGCAACGTGAACCCCCTCAAGTCATCAATCAAAATCAGTAGGAGAATCCTAGCCAGCAGTGTACAAAATAGAATCAAAGAAAACCATCACGGATACCCGTTATACGAAAAGGAACCAAATCTTCAACCCATACCGTACCAACCCTGCAATATAATCTATCCGCCAATATCCAAAAGATAATACCTACAAAGACAAAAGAAAAGGAAACAAAAGAAAAAGCTCAAATATCGCTCAGTATCGCTCAACCAAACGTGTTAGGTTTCGCTAGGCAGAATGCCTAGGCTAATTTCCCAAAAAATGGGAGGTCTCGCTGTCATCGCCTTTGTGAGATTCAAAGGTGGGCAGAGTGTCTGGCCCTGCAGTCTGCGTTTTCTCGGCCGTGCCATTCTCCTGTTTGGGCTCCGGGGTCGCTAATGTCGCCACAGGGCTTTCCGGGGTGCGGGGCTCCTCAGGGATTGCTGGAGGAAGCCCGGGAGGCAGCGGCGAAGTGGGAGTACTCGTATAAGGTTGCGGGATGGGTTCTTTCACCACTTCAATCGGAGCGGGGCGGTTGGGTAGGCTGTCTCTGCCAACGGGCGAGATTGTCTGACTGGATGCTGACTTTTCCGGGTCGGACTGGACCGGGGGACTGCGCGTGCGTTCACTGTCTGAGGAGTTTTTAACTTCATCCCGGACCTGTGCGACCTTGGCCTTGAATTTCCCGAAGAGACTGCGCCTCTCTGGCTCGGAGCTCCCTGAATCTTTGCCACTGTTGCTGACCTCGGCGTCCAAACTCAATGGCTGGTAGGAGGGGTCATTGGCGAAGTTCTGGAGATCCGAGGGAGAACTGCGGCTGGAATGATGCCAGCTACCGATTGAGCTGGTACTACGATCTGCCCCGGGAGTTGAGGCCATAAGGGGCGGCGAGCCAAGACCCAGTCCCATCTGCTCGCTGCTGCGCTTAGAGGAGCGGGGAAATCGCCAGCTCCGACGATGCTCTTTCCGCTCCGCCTTCGACGCCTCATCTATTTGATCGATATCAGACGCGTCCGTGAATGACGAGCGCGAGTTCATCGACGGGGTCCGCGACTCATACGGTCGCAGCGTCGTGTCGCCGCTGCTGGCGCCCGCGATCTGTTGCTGTCCGTTCTCATGCTGCACAGCTGTTTTCTCCTGCCTCAAGGCCAGGTCGTCGAAGCTTGTAGGGTTTGGAGGTCTCGGTGTAGCACCCCCGGCGTCGGGGGTCGCATCTATCGGCCGACCCGCTTGGGGGGGAGAATTGACGGTCGTCGGGTCCGAGGTGGCTGCCTGTAGAGATTGAGACGAGCTTTGGGCGCTTTCGCTGGCACTTCCGGGAATTCGCTTCTTCTTTAGACGGTTGGGCTGCCGCGGTGGTTCCTTCAACTCGTTACTCGACGGCGGCGATTTGGAAAAGATGCTAGAGAGTTTTCGTTCTCGGGTGGGTGTAAAAGCGGTCTGAGGAGGCGAAGAGGGGGGAGATAAAGACTCATGCAGAGCAGAAGTGACCGGTGCCGGTGCCGGTGCCGGAGCAGGAGCAGGAGCAGGAGCGGCCGCGACAGGGGGAGCTGCGCCAGCAGTCAAAGAAAGGGGGAGGGAAGCCGGAGCCGGAGCCTGAGCAGGAACGAGGACAGGGGCAGTGGCAGGAGCAGGAGCAGGAGGTCCAACCGGCCTCTCCGTTTGAACAACAGGTTGGGCTGGGGGTTCGGTCTGGACCGTGGGCGCTTCTGGCACTGGCGGTTGCACAGGAATCACCTTGGGAATTGGGCCGTGGGTGGACGTATGGACATAAACGAGCCCGCTCGGCGGCCCAGCCCCTGGTGCAGGCGTGGTTGTGGTGGGGGGTTGCTGCGGTGTAGGCTGCGGTGGGACAGACGCTTGCAGGTTGTCCTCCCGTGCGGTCGGTGTGACGCTCGAGGACCGCGAGGGTTGTGCAGATGTACGCTCCGACGAATTCGGTCCGGTCGCTTCCGTCACCCGGCCATACCTCATGGCCGGCGACATTTTGGACGGTAGCGTGTTACTGCGGTGGACGCCGACGGCGCCCAGAGAGGTCGGGGTGGTAGGACCCTGCGCGTTGTTCGATTGCCGGGAGTTTTTCGACGATACCGACACGTTGCGACGAAGACTGCCGTATTTGCGGAAGCTTTCACCCCCGCCACTTGCGCTCGAGGCCGAGCGCCGGATGTTGGAATTGGTAGTCGCCGTGCGATGCGCCATTCCGCCTTCCACTTCCTTCACCGTCTGCTCATCCGCGGCGGTGCCGTTCATGCCGAACAGGAAGTGATCTTGGTTCTCGATCAAAAAAATCAGTACATCCTGGCTCAGCCTATATTCGTCGGGCGCCATGTCGTGCTGGGGGTGAGACAACAGGCCAGGTTGGAAAATGGCGGACAGGTTGGCCGACGTCATCCGGTTCTGGTCCGACTTGGATGCGAAGACGGCTAGAAGGTCGAGGATATACAGAAGCAGCTGCTTGTTCAGCGGCGGCAGCTCTCGGATCAGCTGTTGGTAGGAAGCGACGGCTTTCGCGTGGTCAAAGGGATCCGACTCTGTCGTGGCGCCGTTGCTGTTCTGAACGTGGTTCTGGTAAGCTCGCAACGGCTCGCGAAAGCGCTCGTAGAATTCTAGCGGGACGATCGGCTCGGGGAGTTGATTCAGGTAGCGACGAAGGACGTTGGCGGCATCGTGAACCGTATACCCGGTCCAGTCCAGGCCCTTCCCGTATCGCTCGGGGGAGTCAAATATTTCCTGCAAGTCCTTGATGCGCTTGGCCGATCCACTGAGACGAAAGATTCCTTCCACATCCGTAGCTTTTGAGGCGTTAGCACACCTCCGAAAACAACCCTCCCCGCGACCAACTGATTATGCGTACCTTTTTCCTTCAAGAAAACCCCACATTTCGCCACGACGATAGGCACATATCCGTAGATGAAACTCTCGCCGTTATCGTTGGTTAGGGAGATGGCGACGTTGGCGTACTTGATGCTGACGTTGAGGGGGATGCCGAAGATACCTTGAGGTTCTGCGGTCCAGGTCAATATGCATAGGACAAAAGTTTAGAGCGAAAGGGACGGAGTAAGGGTTGATGCAAGTCGCGGATGACAGTGGCTGGACGATCTCGGTGGTATTCCGCATGAGCGGCTACCTAGATCGAAAAGCACGAATCTGCTACACGCCAGAAGAGGTCTCTGCGCAAACGTACCCTTGGGTTCCTCCTTGCGAGTGTTTCTCTTGAACTGCCTCCACCAGGATGCCAGGTCACGCCTGGAAGGCGGGGAGGTTGCGCCGAACCCGTGCTGCGAGGTTGACGGAGGTAGGTGATGAAAGGGCTCCGCGCCCTTGCCGGTGACCATGATGAAGAAGCGCGCGAGACGGGCGTCAACGGTATAGAAAGCGGAAGTGCAGCTGTAGAATGATGAAACGCAGGCGAACCGAGTCCTCCGTCACCGCCCTCGTGTTCGCGAGAAATTCCGGGGCTGGGGAGGAACCGACGAAATCTCAAAATAGCACGAGGGACTAGTAGTCAGCCTGGCAGCGGATGACAACGCCGCGCCGTCCGTTAAGTTGCCAAGGCAGGAAACCCCGTGGCTGAACAATGACTGAGAGAGACAGAGAGGATAAAAGATCGCGACAAGGCACGGGGAAGGCGGGGAGGCGACAAAATCGATTACGGGGAGAGGGAGAAAGAAGTAGGGGTCCACGGAAGAGTCAGAGTCAGATGCGGAGGAAGCGAAGGGAAGACCCGGGATAGAAATAAAACCGGAAAAAATAGAATAAAATTAAATAAAGGGACCAGCAGAGCCAGGGATAAAGGGTAGACGAGGAACGAGAACGAGAGAGGTAACCAGGAGAGGGAGAAAGGAGACGAGAAAGAGGGGAGAATGAGAAGAATGAAAGAAAGGGAAGGGAATGAGAAGGAAAATGGGGGGAAAAGGAAAAAGAAAGGATGAAGGTGGATGGATGGAGGGGGGTCAGGGAACGAAAGGGAGCGAAGCGATAGATTATGATTGAACTGATTGATGGATGGGGTTGATTGACGATGATCGGAGGGAGGCACACGAGTGGGCGGAGGGCTGACAGGATGGAGACGGTGACTGGGCTGGAACTGGGTCGCCTTGGGAGGGGCTAACGGGCCCCAGAAAAAAAAGTAAAAAAAAGTAGAAAAGGGAGAGTGGGAAGGGGGGCCGCTCAGTTCGGTCGCTGCAGATCGTTGGTCCAAAAATCAGGTGGTGGGATTGTCGCTGGTTTGTGGTTTGTTCATACCGGAAGAAAGAGAGAAAAAGAAGAGAGAGAGAAAGAAAGATTGCTGTCATCGACACCTTTCTCGTGCCGTCCTGACCAGACCCGGACGGGGGCACTAATAATAGGCTAGAAGCAAGACATTAATTAATGAACGCAGAGGGACCAGGTACAAGATACCCTCTCCAGAGTACACTGGACACACAGAGAAAAGGTACCTGGTACCGTATGGCCCGGTTGCTTGCGGTCGAGCCCGGGAATTCCGCCGTGTCTGGTTTAGTCCGGCGTCTCTCTGGGCTTCGACCGGCCTTCTAGAACCACTGTCCCTGGCTAACCGAGTCCTCTGCCAGTGTGAACGGCGAGGAGGAATAAATTATGATGATGATGATTCACATACAACGATTCAATATAAACAATATGCACACTATACATACTATCGACCAACCCTCGCAAGACATTCCCTCTTTGCCCTCAATCCTTCAATCCGTCTCATTTCCACTCTCCCTTAGCACAATGCAACATCATATGTAAAAATAAATGAAAAATAAATCAAATCAAATCAAGCCGCCATGGCCGAGCGTTCCTTCCTCGGTCCGCTCCCCCCCCCCCCCCCCAGCGCTAACCAAATAGCCTTTCGTGTCATCCAGTCCGTCTGAAACAAACACCCCCTTCTCCTGATGAAGACCGAAGTTCTCTCGAATCCTGACCCCCCGACACCACCGTTCGATCGCGTTTGAGAGTCCTTCACGGGGTCATCTCAATCGTCGCACGGGGAAATCCAGTCCCGTGGATCGGGGATCGCAGGACGAAAGTAAAAAGTCTAGAACCGGAATCTAGGACTCGACTAACTCCTTAGCACCGCACTAAACCGGGTTTTCCTGGTGTATGACGCTGACGCCCTGCTTCCCTGAAGATATACGGAGTCGACCTTCAGCTTTAAACTTTTCGTATCCACTTCGTTCAGGTACCCCACGCTGGGAGGCCAGATATCCTTCCGTTGTTGGTTTTCGCGGTTTGGGTTCCGGGGTCCTGTTGCAACTAGGAATGGCCAACAGGCCAATGACGGAACTGTGTGTCTGTTAGTACGGAGTACTGTTTATAACGCCGTGGTAGGTCACCACAGTGGAAGGGGTCGTCGGGTACCTGACGCCGTGCGGAGTAGTGATAAGGCGTAGGGCCTGTGATTTAGGTCTGTAACAGACCGGAACTGTCGAGACCACGGGTCAATCAGCATTTAGGGCTTGGACACCGCCATTACATCGTGTGTTCATGAATTCTTTACAGCATAATTAGGACTCTTGGATATATATCTTCCGCACAGGCATTGTAGACCACCACGCAGCACGGCCAGTCATCACTGTCTCCCCGTGAACGAATTAGAGCATCAATGCCACAAATCTGACTACCAGGTTGATTTAAGGTTCTTTCAATGCATAGGTCTCTACATTTGACCGGCCGTCTAACCTGGCGTCCCCGATACAAGCCACCTGCTGATTTTCAAGGCAATTGCGGAGTCCTCGCATACAGAAAATCAGGTGGAACTGAAAGACCTGCCTATATGTGCAGATCACTAAACGTAGGCGATCCGTGCCACTGCCCATTCCCATAGGTCATCATCCTTTGATTTGCAATGCAAGTAATCCTGGATCCTGCGGAATCGAACAATCGACAATGGTCTTGTTGGTGGATGTGAACACACCGCCAACCAAGTCATGCGCCGCAATCAGGGAAGATTTCAAGATTGCCAGCTGAAGGCGATGCCAGCAGGCTAGTCACAGCACCCCAAATCAAGGCTCGTATATATGGAACCTTTCTTACCTCCCCCTTTCGCACGCTCGCCAAATCAGCACCGGGACGTGGAGATTGGCTGGTGCGCAGATCCCTCGGCTCGTATGCAATTTGCCAATTTATCACACACCACAACCACGGTTGGCTCTCGCCACAGGGTCCGGGGGCCACCTGCGGTCCCGTGGCCAGCGTCATAGCACGCCGGGCCAGGATTGACCATGTCATTGCCTGATCGGGTCGGCATACGCTGTCTTTTCTCCATCGTTCTTCGCCGCCCGGGTGGGAATGAGTCAGCCATTGAGAACAACACGTGATGCCACGTGATTATGGGTCAGGTGCGATCACCTGACCTCATGTGACCCGGAAAGAGCCTGCGGCCCGTCGAGAGCTCCGGAGCTGTCCCGGACAACCTCAGAAGGACTGTTGTCATTATACCCTCAACCATCACACCTCTCCCTCACTAGTCATCCTCTAACATCACAATGGAAGGGTGAGTATCTCCTGGTCCTTTTGACTTCCGTTCTACGCCACACTCAGCGACCATCCAGAATTCCAGCTAACTCCCTTCAGACTCTCTGCCTCGGAACAGCGCGAGTTCGCTTCTCGCATGGAGAGAAAGCAGCTCAAGGAGTTTATGACCGTACGTTCCCTTTAGATGCCATCCGTCCTTTATCATTGCAGATTTTCTCCGTGCCCTCGACGTGACATTGCCTCAGCCTCATCCCTGTCTTCAACTTTTCACACCCAAATCCAAAACACAAAAACCACACCCCCGAACCAACAAACCTCACTCACACATTCCTCTGCAGATGTACTCCAAGCTCGTCCAGCGCTGCTTCGATGACTGCGTCAATGACTTCACCACCAAGTCCCTGGTCAACCGTGAGGAGGGCTGCGTGATGCGCTGCGTGGACAAGTACCTCAAGTCGTCGGCCCGGTTGAACGAACGATTCCAGGAGCAGAACGCGGCGATGATGCAGAGCGGCCAGATGCCGGGGCGGTAAATAGATGAAACGTGACAAACGTGACCAATCCTTTTCTTTCTAATCTTGTAATTTGACTCGATGGGTTTCGGCGGTTCGTGTATAAAACATTAGATTTTGCGAATGATGACAACTCTCCTTGATATATTTTCTTGGTTTATTGCTGTGGTGTGAACGTGAATCTCGACACGGGTATAATTTGTGGCTAGTCCATTGGTGGTCTCTGTAGGGTTGTTTCTGTTGCTGGGCTGTATATTCTTGGGAGGTAGGGAGGAATTGTTGATATCCTGACGGGACAGGTGTGCTCTCCACGAAGTCGGACTGGGGAAGATTTCTTCTCTTCACCAGACCCTCGTTCTTATCGAAACCATCCGTAATCACTCTCACCCTGGTCGGGGAGTGTATCTTAGAAAGGGCAAAACCTCCTGGGGATACCAGTTCAGCCTGAGGCAGCAAACGTCGTCATCGGGCACGGACCAACCCGGAAAACGTTGCCTTTTCGGGTCGCCGCGGCAGTTTCCTTTTCCTCCCTTTTGCTGAGCATCTATACTATGTAGAGTCGACTGTAATTCTGTCTGGATTTCTCTACTCTTTCCCGTAGCTGCTTCGGTCCATCGATCGCTGGCTCCGCAGGCTTGTTTATCTACCATGTAGCCGCTCATCGGCTAGTTCATGACTCACGTCTTCCATGCCTTCCCGACTGTCGGGAGACTCTCCCACCTGTGAAACGCCCGCCATCCTTCGCAATGCGGAGAGATGAGGGGACCCGGCAGGAATTGGAGATGATCCTGTCTCCCAAGCGTGGTTATCTTGGCCGGACCGTGTTGACCGGACCGTGAGGATGGCATCTGGCATCGGCCCCTCACCCATCCATGAGCTCTACCCCCCACTCCCCTCCCCCTCACCTGCAAACCCCCACCAGCCGGTCGAGCCCGCTTTAAGCAATTTATTCCCTGCGCGTTCCTTGGGATTTCTTCATCTTCTTTCCTCTCCTGCCCTTCTCTTCCATTCACCTTTGTTTTTGTCTTCCCATCATTGCTGTCGGAAGCTTCTCTCTGTGATCCTTCATCATGGCCAGCACTGTCGGACAGGTAAGAATCCCATTGTTGTTTTTTTTTTTTTAAATTTTTCTCTTCCTCGTTTTTCCTTCTCGTGTCGCGACTAACATTGGCTTTTCTAGACCATCACTTGCAAGGTAAGAAGCTCTTCGGAACGCCAGGGAGAGCTGTTCGGGCTTTCCTCTCCACTCTAGAATCATAACTGAGTTTTTTTCTGTCAAGGCCGCCGTTGCCTGGGGCGCCGGAGAGCCCCTCTCCATCGAGGACATCGAGGTTGCGCCCCCCAAGGCCAACGAAGTCCGTATCCAGGTCCACCACACCGGTGTCTGCCACACAGGTCGGTTTTCTCTCTCTCCTGCTTGTCTTCCGACGTCAAGCTGACCTCGATAGATGCCTACACGCTCTCCGGAAAGGATCCCGAGGGTGCTTTCCCCATCGTCCTGGGTCACGAGGGTGCCGGTATCGTCGAGTCGATCGGTGAGGGCGTCACCTCCGTGAAGCCCGGCGACTTCGTCGTTGCTCTCTAGTATGTCTCTTTGATGACCCAATCCTCGACCTCCTACTGACCCACACAAAAGCACCCCCGAGTGCCGCGAGTGCAAGTTCTGCAAGTCCGGCAAGACCAACCTCTGTGGTAAGATCCGTGCCACCCAGGGTAAGGGTGTCATGCCCGACGGCACCTCCCGCTTCAAGGCCCGCGGCAAGGACCTGCTCCACTTCATGGGCACCTCGACCTTCTCCCAGTACACCGTCGTGGCCGACATCTCGGTCGTGGCCGTGACGCCCAAGATCCCCACCGACCGATCCTGCCTGCTAGGCTGCGGTATCACCACCGGATACGGCGCCGCCGTGGTCACCGCCGGCGTCGAGGAGGGGTCCAACATCGCCGTCTTCGGAGCCGGCTGTGTCGGTCTCTCCGTCATCCAGGGTGCGGTCAAGAACAAGGCCGGCAAGATCATCGTGGTGGACGTCAACGACGGCAAGGAGGCCTGGGGCCGCAAGTTCGGCGCCACCCACTTCGTCAACCCCACCAAGCTCCAGGGCAAGACGATCCAGGAGGAACTGATCGAGATGACCGACGGCGGCTGCGACTACACCTTCGACTGCACAGGTAACGTGGGCGTGATGCGCGCTGCGCTGGAGGCCTGCCACAAGGGCTGGGGTGAGAGTATCATCATCGGTGTTGCTGCTGCTGGACAGGAGATTTCGACCCGACGTGAGTCCTTTCCTTTCCATCCTGTCATCTCAATCCAATCCAAACCACTAATGCGATCAATAGCATTCCAACTCGTCACCGGCCGTGTATGGAAGGGTTGCGCCTTCGGCGGTATCAAGGGCCGCACTCAGCTCCCCGGTCTGGTCGACGACTACCTGAACGGCCAGCTGAAGGTGGACGAGTTCATCACGCACCGCGAGCCTCTGGACCAGATCAACACTGCCTTTGAGCAGATGAAGCAGGGCGACTGCGTCCGCTGCGTTGTTGACATGTCGTAGGGTGACAGTTCAACGATCTGATCGAAATTGGCCTGTAGGAAGGAAAAAGAAAGAAAGGAAAATAAGGAAACGGAAAAAAAGCGTTTAAAAACCAATTTATCATACCTAGCTAGCTAGCTTGTTCGTAACTAGTTACTCCGACGTGAATGACCTGAATGAAAGTGTACATGTTCAGACAATATTTCAGAGCGGAACCAAGATCAAACAGTAAAGAATAAACAGGATAGACACCGGTATATATACCCTGCGTCAAGGCCGGAGCACGTCTTCAAGGTCCTCTCGAGGCGGGGTAGTCAACGTGACCTACACGTATCCTGGCTATCGTACTGGAAGGTAGCTGAGGCAACAAGCCCTAAATGCGTACATCACACCGAGAATGGTACATTAGGTTGGTAGATATGAATTCTGCAATCCACATAGTACACTTATAGAAGTATACCGTCAGAACGCTTTAAGACTACTAGGAATTCAAGAAATGTAAATGCCATACAAACACAGAGACATAAATAGTCAGGTATGTATGTCCCATCTACAGAAATTAACGAACTAAACTACCTTCCCTCTATGCACTTACTTTTGAAATTGTTGATTTAACACCCTCACTATCACTGAAGACTTAATTACTCAGTCTATTCACCGGTCCGGGGTCCGGCGGAAAACTGTACGGTAAATACTCCGTAGAAAGTGGGGACTCGGAGGGCAGAAGTAGACCCGACGTTTCTCCAGAGCTTGCTGGAGGGGTATCTCGTATGGAGTATGTCTATGCTTTCAAAAAATTATCTTATTAGAGCTCTAGTTAATTAAAGATATATAATCTACGGTAGTTAATCAATCGAGTCAGCTCCCTTCCCCTACAGCTGGAAAATTGGTCGGAGCGGAATGTGTCTGGTGAATATTTACCTACCCCCCTACCTTCCCACCGACAGAGCATCTTACCATCTCGAAGAAAAATAAATAGTAGTAGATGGATAGTATTAACGCATACCAAAACCCCATTCACCCCCTCTCCTAGCCCAAATGTCGTCAAGAGGGAAGAAGGAGTATGTATATATTCACAGTCTCACAGAGGAACAAGGGAATGTGCGTAGCTCGTAGAGGGAATGAAACGGAATTCATCATCTAGATAATCTCTTCCCCCCCATTCCTTTCTCCATCTTGCCTTCCTTCCTACAACTCCTCATTCTCATCAAGTCAAGACCGATTGGCAGTTTCTGGCTACTGCAATTGCACGATACAAATCCAGCTCAAGTGTAGCGATGCCTACACTAGTCCATGATATGGTTGCAAACAAAGATCCCATTTCTCGTACGCCACATTATTATATTGAAAGACAAAAATCAGTTGAAAAAACGCAATCCAATCCCACCGCTGACACTTGTATTCTGGATGAGTGAAAGAGGAGCACAAGGATGCTTGGCGGATATATCTGCCACCTGACGTATCTTTTCATCCGTACTCTCCATCTCAAGGTGAGTTCGCCAAGCAAAAGACTCGAGAAGACATACTAATAAACGAAAAAGAGCAGACACAATGATCACTGCACCGCATGGACCGGACTTATCCCGACGATGTCACAAGCCGAGACAAAGCTGCAAGCTTTGATTTCGCCGCCAAAAAGTGGCCCTATCACCGCCCTAATGTGGTGGTCTAGGAGGCTTCAAGAAGCCGTTTCAATAGAGGACTTCGGGGTCATGGAACCCAGTCAGTTCGGAAATCCTCGAGCAAGGAAGACCCAATGTCGATGATCGACCGCCCGTCGATAATGGGTGCTGTATCGCGAGACAAAAATGGGAGAAACCATCGAAATCTGTCTGGATCGAATTGACTTGGCGTTTGAACGTCAAGGATGCTCGACACAGATTTCAAATATCATCGAAAACATGCGCACGCGGATCGAAATTTTCGAAGACCAGCTGATAGCTGACATTGCAGCGCTGGTCATCGCATGCGCTGAGCAAGATATATTATGTCGGGGCGAAATGGCGTAAGAAGCAAACCCGTGGCTGATGTTTGTAAGCTGGACGTTCTATGTGAGGTGCGGAAACAGATCTGGGCATCCGAGGACGCGAAAGGTGCGGCAACAGCCGGTTCTTCTGGTCCAGCCACTGGTTCTGCGGATCCGCCTGTTGGTTCGTCAAAGTATGATACCTGGATAGGACATGAGAAACTGACAATGTGGATTGCAGCAGCAGCCAAAGAAACTACACCTGTCTTAGCTTGAATGGAAAATGGCTCCAACCAAAAAGCCAAACCTGTCTTGTGCTTTTATGTTATGCAAGTCAAAAGTCTTGAACAAGACTCCAAACACACAGCGTTCAAGGCCTAGGTACCGGATATCAGCCACTATCGCAAATAAAACATCGAGCCCATTTGTGAAGTGACCGGTGTAAGTTGGACGTTCGGCCTCGTAGTACAAATCCTGGATAGGTTTTGAAAAACCTTCGTCTAAGTGTTATGAGAAGGCTCAAAAGACCGACAAATTAATCCTGAAGACTGCCATGCGAATTGAAAAGGTGAGGCTTCCAATATCTTTGGTTATTACATTTACTAACAAGATCATGATGACGGACAGCGCAAGGAGGAGGCTCTCGTCAAGAAGGAGATGGCTGCAAGGGAGAGGGCGAAGAAGGAGGATAAGATGAAGGACGAGTAGCGTGCTGGGAGTACCGACCGCCTTTTCTTTTAAGTAATAACTACAGTAACGATGAAAGTCCATGTCCAAGTCTATCCACCATCGTAGATGGATATCGATTTGGTGCTTATCCAGAATGCTTGTAAGTTGAACACTCGACCTCGAAGGACAAATCCAGGATAGCTTATGAGAAACTAACGATTCGGATTGCAGGCTTTGCAGCTGTAGGAATCTAGGATCCTTCAGAGTAATATTAGGAATCCGATAGCAGCAACAGATGCAGGAATCGGGAGAGATGGTCGTCAAATTCTTTAATCGCCAAGGAGGAGAGGACTTCTTTGGAAAACAGTGAGTTCTGCCTATTTCCGAGCAAGAGCTTATGACTTATTCGAAAGTCACCTCCTCATCTCCCAAGATGACCTTGCGGTCTATATCACTTTTGCAGAGGCGGGATCCCAGTACCATGCTTATTTGCACCAAAAGATGGCGTGCCGGCTGTAAATCCTAATGCTTTTTTGACCATGAAAAGCTACGGTCCGTACGATTTGGGCAATGAGACTCATGTATACCAATTTTCCACGGCGATTGTCGCGATCTTACTGCGTGCGAACCAGGTGGCGGTTGACCTGACTCTTTAGCACTGTTAAACTAGGAACAACCCCGTCGATACACCCGAGCAGGCAATTTCCAATACAGAAGGATCAAACGAAATACAAAAATGAAGTCCAAGTTAGCTAGGTGCCGGCTATGAGCCAACTGCCATACATTGCAATTCTTCACAAGAGACAAAAAGTTGCGAATTCAATATGTCGGAAAGTCACTTCGACACATTGATAGTTCCCTGGGCCTGCTACCGCCCCCGGATCTGACCCATGAGACTGGGACGAAAAACGAAGGACGTATGGGCCGGACAGCTTTGATACACCCGTTGCAACGCATACCCGCGACCTTCAGAAGCTGATGTTTCCACTTACCAAGGACGAGCAAGAGGTAGAGTTGAACCCACTCGTGTTGGAATGGCTGATAACCGAATTTTTAGAAAAATGCCCAAATACCGAGTGTGACGGTTTGGTTTATCAAGGGGCATGTCGACCACCGTGTCCAGTCTGTGGGGGATGCCACTCTACCCCGATGTGAGGCCCTAAACGTGGCCATATGATTTGGGAAGAGATAGCCTTACTCTGGGTGATTTTCGATTCCCGGGAATGCCTTTTTTGACTCGTCCTGCTCTTGTCGCGCTCATCCAGGTTAAAACACTCAGGGAAGATCTGGTGAGAGACAAGGACCAATGGCTATATTGTACACGCCCATATCTCCCCAAACATCTGCGTTGGAAGATGCAACGCACAACTGCTAGGGTTGCGGAATCCCAATGTTTTTGGCATGGGTGTAGCCCGGAATATTTCCGTTGGGCTGCCATGTCCCTTTCAACTGCTCGAAAAACAAAAGGTTGACAGAAAAGAAGCATCTGCCAATTCAATTCCTCAAGAGCTGATTAGCCATCATTTCGATGGAGAACGTGGAGGCAGGTCGGTGGTCCATTTGCGACTAATTCGACAAAGATACGAGGGCCCTCAGTGTCCCAGTGTCCCTGTCATCGCCGATTGTTATATCGACACGGTTGGACCCGGGAAATAGTACGTGGCATTCAGCCTCCGCTCCTTCTGAATACAATGAAAATCCATACTGAACGGATGATGAGCCAACGTTCTGGAAAAAGTCCTAGCCCCGTCTAATGCGCAACATGGCAAATACTGTCAAAAGACCTGGACTTTTTTACTCGGGACACAAATTTGCCTTTTCCCTCCTCTGTCAATGTGGGTTTGGAGTGACAGGTCATATCACTTCAGCAGCAGGGGCATGGATTCGATTCGCGGACGTTGAGATACCACGACGCCTACTACCCGTCTTGTTAAGAATGAGGCTTATTGCAGCATGTTGAGAATGAGTCTGAAAGATGAGACTGATCCCCACCGCTCGGCTGCATCTGCGTGCCTCCTCTGTATGTGAAGGTATTGCTTTATGGATTTCTGAAATACAGGAATTTTTTTTGTCTTTTTTGAGAACGAAGCTTCGACATCCAGCCAAGGATCTTCGAATCTGGGAACACTAGCTTCATATCTCGGAGCGATGGCTTCATCGACAGAATACAGTTCATATATGGACACAACAGCAGCAGCAACAACAACAACTAATGACTCCAAGGGAACAAATAATCCGAGGGAAGGAGAAGAGGGAAAAAAGGGCAGGTCCCCTAAAGTTGTTTCCAATTTTCCGAACACATATACACTGAAAATCCCGAACAGTCAGAAAGTTCAGACACGGTTTTCGGAATGCTCGGTTTTTCAGGGTAGCCAACGAGCGAATAAAGTAGTCTCAGCTGCAATCCAACTAAAGTGGAGAGTTTTGAACTGCGAAGATAGGACGTCCTGTGCTACCAAATTTGAATTGTTGAGGGACAGTCGAAACAAGGATCTAGATTCGCCTGGAGTTGTTGTATGCATCCGTGGAAAAGTAGAAGTGGTTTATGATACGGTACTTGAGTTCAATCGATGCATCAGCAGAAGATCGACAAGGAAAAAGAAGGCTTGCTTTGTGATGAGACTTTGGAGAGAGATTTTGAGTTCAAGGTCGATATACGAGGACCTCCTAAAGAAGACGTCCCAGATATTCCCCAGTTCAAGAAGTCGCAGTGAGAGGGAAACCCAGTCGGCTATAAAAAGTTAGTTATGGATGATGGTCCACCAATACATCCGACTTAATGCCGCGACCGTCAAGATGGCATATCCGATGAGGCGACTTGAACCGATACTGAACAGCATTAACCAGGAGAAGTGGCGGGTGTTCTTCAATCAGGTGAGAATGTCCGATAGTTTCTTTTATTACATATTCTTTTGCAGAGATTGATGAAATTCTATGCGAAATTTCTGCTGGTAAACGCTCGCTATAGAAGAAGGAAGTCCACTCAACGGAGGGAGAGCACAGCCAAAGCGGAATATTGGTGTCTAGCTGACTCCATCTATTTCTAATCCTCTTTTCCCAGCCTCTTTGCGCACAGATATCCCACGAGCTGGATTTTTATAGCAGCCAAAGAATGGAGGCAGAGCGGATGGGAAAGGTCATCTCCTTCAGCGACTTACTACAATGAATGATCATTATTCAAGAACCAATATGAGCAGACTTGCCGTGGATTCAATCCAAGCTGGATGCCAACTGACCGAAAAGCTGCGTGACAAGAACGACCAGTACAGTGCAGGTGGTGGATCGACTGTTCGAGGCCTATATTGCTCTGCTTGATCAACACCATATCTGGGTGGAGCAGTCCTCATATCTACCACTATGTCGATATCTACCGCGAAGCTATCTTCGACGGCACAGTGCAGCCTGACGGGATTTCGGACATGTTCATTGCAAATCTGGAGGAGCAGGAAACTTACCGTGACACTAGCGATGAGACGACCATGCGTCATGCGCACTCGCCTCATCCGAAATCACTATGCAAGGAAGCAAAATATGTCTTAGCATTGGGCTGTGCAACTACTTGGGCAATCTCCCGATATTTGTGCAAAGTTTGCTCAACTTCGTTTACCGAACTTCGTTGCTGCAAGCACAGAAGAAACCAGGGCGCAAAACAGAGAAAAAAGGGATCTTTCTACAGTCAAATAATTGTGTGCTGCCCATTCAGTATCTCCTATCACCTCCTTTTCAACATGAGCAACAGCGTCCATCGATATTCTTGTTGTTTGTACTCGCTGCCTATTGAGTTCCCTCCTGAAAGACAAGGAATTATCTGTCAGACCCGAAGAGACTACCTTCCCGATAGAGATATTCCTTGCACCTAACAGTACGCACGTCGTGATGAATCTACGCCAAACAAATCTATAAAAATATAGTCTCCTGGACTACTAGACGAAGCAGGAGAGTCAGGCACTCCTAAGATCGCTGAACGGTAATCGTCAAGTCAACGAAGGACATTATAAATCCGAAGAAATACGATATTACAGACATGGAAACGAAATACAAGCCACAACGTCGGGACAGGAACAGCCGATCAAAAAAGAGGATCATGTATAAATCAATATGGATTTTATCGTCTCGCACACTTCTGGAAATCCGAACTTTCTCGAATCGAAAATGAGCGCTGCCACCACGGACGTCGTGATGACCGGAGGTCTCCAGCTGGCTGGAGACAGTCTGGACGGAGGGGAAGAAAAGGGAAAAGGAGGAGGAAGAAGAGGAAAGAGGCGTATGCAGCGTTTCCTTGTTGATTGCGATTGCTTGACTGCCTCTGGAGGCGGAAAAAGCGGAGCCGGGAAAAGTGCTCCTGGTGCTTTAAGAGAGGACACCGCCAGAACCAGTGCGAAGTGTGCTGGGGGTTGCGGGCGGAGGTAAGTGCCATTCCCACTTACTATCCTACCACATCGACCCCTTACCTCCGGCCGGGCCTGTTGAGTTTCTCCCAGGCCGGCACTCTGTTCATGTCTTCATCCTGGGTTGAAATGAACATACCCATTATGCAAGTCCGTACAAGCATTACTGGTGCTATCTGAACATGAGGACCTTTTGTGAAAATTGCCCTCATAGTCTATACGGCCCTGGGTTCGTCGTCCATATTCCTTGGCTTTCCGTAGGCACACATATTCTCGAGAAATGCCAACACCTTTAGGAGGTCTATCAAGTCCTGTAAGTCCCTGAAATCGGGATCAGAAACCAGCCAGGAGCAATACTTGTTGTACAGGATTCTTGCTCGAAACCACACGAGGATCTTTAATGCAGCGCTCTTTGGCCTCGCGACCGAGATGCAAACGGCACAGATTATCACAGCTGGCAATGAATTCCAAACCTATCTGACGGCCATCCGCCCTTTGCGGATCTTACACAGCAATGGGCAGGGGACGGGCTATTCAAAGTGGCATTCCAGAGTCTACAAGAGATTTTAAACCCTCTTCCAAACGCACCTATCCCTGTGGAAGCTGTCGTCAATGGCTCACTCGGCTAAATCAGGCGGCTTTTTACACTTTATTGGCACATTTTGGAGTGACTTGTCGAAAACACTGAATAATTTCTGGCTGAGCCGTCCTGCAGTTCCCGGCTCCCTGAAGCCGTTCTCTGGCATTGAGACAATTTGGTAAGTCTTCTTTGATATGACCAAGAACATCTCGGCTGGTTTGACTAATTATTGTTAGGCTGTCAAATCCGTTCCATCTAGGGAGTCCTTTTATATTGGGTCATCCTCTATTCATTCTGACGTATTTTGACGGCTTCGGACTCTATCGGGATATGTATCGATGTCTAACGGGATTTCGTCTTATACCTTGATGTCTCCCTGCTACGTATCAAGCGAAAGGATCCAGGGGCAGTTTGGTCAAAAGATCGACCAGCTCAAGTGAGCAAGGCCATAGACACGCTTAAGCTGTGCATGGCCAGGTGCCTCTACCCGCATGAACAGTGCAATATCGTCTGTGTTTCGCACAAGGGGCTAGCCCCCTCGATCTCAAAGGCCTCGAAAAGAAAGAGTGAGTTCGTAGACGTCAACGATTCTCATCTCATACGAATGGCACAATTTGGCGACTCAATGGCCAAAGAGAGAACAACCATGTCTTGTTCGTAGCCTACGCCAGTTATGCTTACGGTAGCACCCAGGCGACAATCGAATTCCTGCAAATGAGCCTACTCTGGACCCGTTTTGTCTACTGTTATAGATTGAAGTTCAGAGCCGGCATCCGGCGGTTCAGTGTCCAAGATCGTCTCAAACAGCTTTGACGGAAGTTTCTAACCACGCGCGGGCTACCGGTCGTCCGCTTGTGACTCGTCGCAATCATGAAAAGTTCAACCAAAATCCGTCCGAATGAACAGCTAGATCTATCCACGGACTTAGTCCTGCATAAAAATGACTTCAGGAGTTGCCATCATTCGTCCTGACCCCGGGCGGCGGCCTGGGGTGGTTCCTTGTAAGAGTTGTCTGGCGCCGTGGGAATCTGTTGATCTGACGTTTTTCGATTCTGCCTTTGGCAACAGCGCAATGAGCGCGAAGCTGCTCGTTCGCAGCTCGAGGAGGCGGCGGCGGCGCTCTCCTCGGAGAGCGAGCATATGCCCGCATTGGAAACGGAAACGGTACTGGATACCAGCTCGGCGAAATCGCCTTCTGAGGCTTCCGGTCGGAATCGTGACGGACAGAACACATCCTCGTCACGGTCCTCTCCGCGGTAAAACCACGGTCACCATCCGTGGCGGAAAGACTGCGTTCCTTCTCGCAATCCCGGCGAACGATGAGCCCGTCGCCTCCTCCCGCCGTGCCTGCGCGGCCCTCGGATTGAAAAACGATACTGGCTATCGCATATCCTGACGCATCGGTGGCAACAAGCAATGGTTTGCTGGAATCGTAATAGCTGAGGGCAGGTGGCTTAGCAAAGGCCTCCTTCAGCTCTGATGAGTCGGACCATTTCTAGCAAGGCACTGAAGAAATCCGAAAACTAGGTCGCCTAGAATGGAGGCGTTGTATTTCTACAACAAGACCAAAGAAATTTGTGATCAGAATGGGCCCTGACAGAAGCTTTCAACGCGTCGGATCGAGAATATGTAATTCCTTGATTTCTTACCTGGAAGAAACGTGCCATTTACACATAGCCTCCCACCCAAATACGTTCATTCAAGCCATGCTTAAGTCGCCTATGTGCTGTTTTCGGAATGAGAGAGGCAGGGAGAATTGTCTATCGAATCCGCCAATGTTAAAAACTAGTATGTTTTTGAAGAGATTGAGAAATCACTTGCAGTATTATGCGAAACGGCAGCAGGAATCTCGGGGAACCAGGTCGCAGACTAAGTAGTGAGACCGGAGAAGCTCCATGCTTGGATTTGGATGGGTAAAAAACGTTTATGTTCAGAGGGTTAAGAATTAATTCCCAGGGGGGCTATGTCCACAGGTTTCATACAGTTTGAAGAGAAATAGGATAACATCCTCAGGGCAGAGCTATATATTTAACTGTCCACCAGAACATGACAATAGAACCCGACAAGAGCCAGTTTTATGAGAGACTTTGCCCCAAATAAGATAAATAGCACCTTAAAAAGAGATGTATTCCGATTTCCGACTAATTCCACACCTCCACTGCACCAGATAAGCGCTATCTAATCTCCCTCGTTCACCCCAACTACGGACCAAAAAGTATTCCGGATAGTATGAGTATCAGTATCTCCTCTTCTAAACCATCTCCGCCTACAGACAATACTTTTCGCAACGCATATCAACCCCAGGAACAGGTAATAATCAGTTAATACGTAATAGAATATAACCCTACCTTCCATCCTAGGAAAATTACCCCTCTTATCACTATCACTCGCCAAGGCACATATCCGGACAAGATCCGACCGTTCACGCCATCGGACGACCAAATCCTTTGAATGCCGAGATCATCGAGCGCTGTCATGTTTCGGAGAGGGAGTGCTTCTCCGGCGGGGAAACCTTCTCCTCATCTGATGCGTTTGCTCCTGTTCTGCCTCTACTACTCACGGATAGAGTAAGTAGTACCGAGTGTCAGAATAGAGAGGAGTATATAACCACGTCCTACCCCTCACCTGCCCATACACCCACTCAATCTACTTCATTCCTCTGCTCTTACATCTACTTCAAACTTCAAACATCCATACAAATACAATAACTGCTTCAGCTGAAATGCCATCCACCGTCCCCCTCCCTCCCCCCTTCTCCTCAATCCCTCGACACGCACTAACCCTCTACCCCTCGCCCATCCACCCCCTCCCCCGAATCTCCACCGACTTAAACACCTCCCCCAGTTCTCAGGGCGCAACCATCTACGCCAAACGCGAAGACCTAACCTCAAGCCTGGCCTTCGGTGGCAACAAAACCCGAAAACTGGAATATCTCGTCGCAGACGCCCTCGCCCAGAAAGCCACCACGCTGATCTCGATCGGCGGGGTCCAAAGCAACCACACGCGCCAAGTGGCCGCCGTCGCCGCACACCTGGGTCTCACGGCTCGGCTGGTCCAGGAGAAATGGGTCGACTGGGAAGATAAAGGATACAGCGATGTCGGCAATATCCAGCTCTCCAGAGTAATGGGGGCAGATGTGAATCTGAATACGGAGGGGTTCGGGATTGGACACAAGGAGTCCTTAGCGAGAGTTCGCGCGGAGTGTGAAGAGCGCGGGGAGAAGACATACTACATCCCCGCGGGGGCGTCGGATCATCCGCTGGGCGGGATGGGATTCGCGCGGTGGGCGTTTGAGGTTCGGGAGCAGGAGCAGGAGATGGGGATTGAGTTTGGGACAGTGATTGTGTGCGCGGTGACGGGGTCGACGATGGCGGGGATGGTGGCGGGGTTTAAGTTGATTGAGAAATTGTATCCCGGGGAGGCGAAGAAGAAGATCATTGGGATCGATGCGTCGGCGAAACCGAAGGAGACGAAGGCGCAGGTGTTGCGGATTGCGAGGAACACGGCGGGGCAGATTGGGTTGACGGAGGACGATATCACGGAGGTGGATATTATCTTGAATGAGGATTATCATGCGGGGACGTATGGAATTCCGGATAAGCAGACGTGGGAGGCGATTGAGTATGCGGCGCGCATGGAGGCGTTTATCACGGACCCGGTGTACGAGGGCAAGAGCTTTGCGGGGATGGTGGATCTGATCAAGAAGGGCGAGATCAAGGGGAATGTGCTGTACGCGCACCTTGGGGGGCAGTTGGCCTTGAACGCCTACTCGGACTTGGGCAAGACTAAATAGGAGTTTACTTCTACACGTTATCTAGATAGAGAAGACAATTGAGTCGGTTCAGAATACCTCAAGGTGCAAGGTAACGATATATAAAAGAGTGGCTAAAGTTGGCTTAAGTCTGAGCTAGGTAGATAGTAGACCGGTCAAAGAGACGATCAGCCTAGAACAGCTTGTGCTCCAGGGTCATCTCCGATTCGGGCTGCAATCCGACGCAGGCACGGAAGATGTTGGTCAAGGCGCTGCGCTGCTTGTTCAGGGAGTTGACCACAGGGGTGCCCGGGGGAGTCAGAGGCGCCTTGAGCATGTAGCTCAGCACGCTGAGCACGCTGTGGAAGCCCTTGTACTCCTCGGCGCCGTCCGCCTTCCAGCTGATGCGGGTCATCATCTCGGCGATCAGCACCAGATCGATTATCAGGGGCGACGCTAGCAGCGAGTCCTCGCAGATGTTGAACAAGCTGATGGTCTGGTGTCCGCCCATGAAGATTTCGGCGTAGTACTCGTCCAGAGCCCGCTTGTTGTCGCCCACCGCCGGCATGTACTTGATCACCACGGTGTGGTCGGGGTGTTCGTCCTTCTCGTAGAGAAGGTGGTTGGCCGCCACCATGTCGTCGACCACGTTAGACTTGGAGATCTCCTTGGAGCGGAACTGCTTCTGCGAGCTCAGGTTCTTGCCGTCGTTGTTACCCAGGTGGTTGTAACTGGCGATGGAGGTAAGCTTGATACCAGCGTTGATCAGGAAGTCCACCAGGGCCGACTTCATCTTGGTCTGGCCGGACTTGAAGTCGTCACCACCAATGAATGCGTTGCGCTGCTCCGCCAGCTGGAGCGCTCCGGGAACGAAAGTGTTCTGGGGCGATCCGTTGATGAACGGGGTGTCCTCCAGGATGGAAGCCACGGCAAAGACGGTGGACGGGGCAACTTCTTCGTGTCCAGTCTTGATCGAGTTGAGGAGGTTGTCAGCCGTGTCGTTGACACCGGGCAGGATATCAGCGTAACGCTCGGTGTTGGCAGTCCACATGACGATGACCTTGTCCAAGCCGTTGTTTGCTTTGAAGTCGCTGCACAGAGGTTAGAACCGCCCCACAATCATCTGAATTCAATAAAACCTACCGAATATCCTGCTGAATCTTCTCAACGTGAGCCCAGCTCGCCTTGGAACCCTCGAGGACGTTGTCGGCACGATCCTCCTGGTTGGCAGCAATAAAGTCCGGGTAGTAGATACTGGGCAAGGGCTTCATCTCGGCCATCTCCTTGCGAACGAGCTGCTTGAGGGTAGGCTCGAGGACCTGGGCCCGATCCATGGCATCGGCGAGGTTCATGCTGCTGATGTCCCAGCCGCCGATGGCGAGGTCATTGGGATGGACCATCGGCAGCATGTCATGGAAGGGAACGTTGATCTCTTCGCCGGTCTTGGCATCGGTTCCCAGCTTGATGGTCGAACCCATAACCATCGATCCGTAGTAGTTGGACGCGCGCTCGCCCTCGCGAGTTTCCCAGACGAGGTTGCGGCGGTTGCCAAGTAGACCTGCAGTGACGGTGGAACCGTTGTTTCCACCCCATCCGACCATCATCACACCGACCTTGCCCACCTTGCGGTCGACCTTGAAGTCGTAGGTGGTGGCCTTGGGGGTAGCGACCAACTTGTTGTCGGCGGTGCGAGTGATGTCAGTGGTATGGTAGGCATACTTGCTCTTGATTTCGGAGTCGGTGTAGACGACGTTGGGAGAGTTGACGGTAAAGAGGGGAGCGGCCTGCGTACGAGCCGACCCGTTCACGGTGCCATTGGCAGCAACATCCGAGCTTGCGTGGGGGGCCATTTTCAAATTCACGAGGTTTGTAGTTTTTTTTACTGAAGTTTGATAGGGGCGTGAAAAGAAAATGTACTTGTCGATGACGGAAAGAGGATGCTTGTGAACAGTAATGATTTACTGTATGTAGAGTGAATTATCCGGTGCTCCCCCACGGGAAGATGAGCGCCGGCCGTTGAACGGGTGGTGACGCCTAGAACAGAAGTTAGTCTCAACGTGAATACAGAGCGATGGGCGTTCGTTGGAAGGCGCAAATCCGGGGAAAATGGCAGAATCCGGGGAGCACTTACGAGTTAAGCTGTGTGCCGAAAATTTTGCCGGTTTCTAGTGATCACACCTCGGGGAGAAGTGATCTGAACAGATTGAGCAAAATTGAAGGCGTAGACTGACAATGGAGACGAGTCAATGGATGGTGGAAGAGGAAAGAAGGAAGGAAAAAGAGGAAGGCGAGGGGGATATTTAAAGTGCTGGATACGGCTAGCCCGCAGTCACGGGGAAGTCCCATCCTTTGGCATCCGCACCCGTGCTGCTCCGCAAGTCGCTGGCTAATTTCTCGTCTATCGAAGTCGCAATGAACTAGTTGCCAGCTTACCAATGAGCGTCCGTTCCAGCCTGAGAATTCAACCAGCGGTCAAGAACAGCACAGTGGCATGTTCACAATTCGGAGTAGTTGAGTCCGACTCGTATCTGCCCCTCTGTGCCTGCCCCTCGTTGAGCGTTGAGGATAACTATCCATGCAGGAATGCATGATCAATTCTTGTCATCTGCTCCATTTTTTCCAATTGTTTTATTCAACATGTGTTCTACTCCGCACAAGTTGACTGATTCCACCGTTCAAAAGAATTTACCCTGCTGTGGATACGAATGGACTGTTGCCTGGACCCTCACCAACTACGATACCCCTCGGGTCCTCAGGCTAATCGTAATGCCCGGCCAATGCTGCCTGCAGGTTCAACGTGTTTGTCCCTTGAGTCGTGAACCTCCCTGGCGTCTTCTGAGAGAGAAAAACTTTTAGTTTTGCCCTAGCAATTGTACAGCACGGATGCCAAGCTATGAGTTGGCAATCTACTCCGGTGTAGACAAAGACGAGAAACAAAAACTTTTCCACCAACCACCAGTTCAATTGATTGATTGTTCCCTCAGGAACAGGACCAAGACAGCGTGTGGTCTGCGCGTTATCGGCCTGCGAGTGTGGGCCTAGGCCAGGTGTCCCTCGGGGTCCGCCAGAGACCAGGATTTCGGTCGAGACTCGGTTAGAGGCTGCAGTGCTGCACCCTGGTACTCAGGACGGTCGACAGAACGTATGGAGTACTGCGTAATTTGTAGCCGGCTACGAGAATGCTGAAATTGAGATCTATTTCAGCGGTATGCAAGAAATGCAGAAAAGCGACCGTGGATGGGCGTGCCGTCTTATTATTCGGACACCGCGGCCGTTGTTGCGGTGTGCGGAAAGCTCGGCAGAACGTTCCATGGTTGCGGTCGCCTTCTCTACCCCTGAATTCGCCCTGTTGGTGTGGCTGTTTGCGGAGGGATGCATTATGCATGCTGCATTACCCCTTGGCCACCGCATAGGGCCTTTGCTCGGCTTTTGACTTTGCATTTTGAGTTGTTCTCCAGGTCTATTGAAGTCTGCTGGACTTGTGCCACTCGCCTCTGCTGAACATTGGGGTTTCATTTTTTGCCATCCATGATCCCGGTGGAATGGTTCAGAGTTTGGATTGCTACGGATGGCAGTTGGCAACTACCATCCATTTCCAATCCGACTGTTCCTGCCGAGCGGCTTTGGCTTGTGAACATACCGACCAACGGCTGCGAGGGTTTTATGTGTCAGCATCGCTCCTCCAGAGGGCCCATGATCAGGCACACTGGTGAAACGGGCTGCGGCTCCAGCTAAGGCTTTCGCAAGGCCTTCTGAGGCATTCTGTCAGATGAAGTCACGAAGGATTACCGGGAGCCCGGTACCGATAAAGTGATGTAGTCAGCTAGGCTAGAAACTACACGATCGCGATGACGTTGGAGAATGGACATGGTACAGATTGGACAAGCGATCCGTGGAAATTTGTCAACGGTCTCACTCTCAAGCAGACCCGAACCATTCGCGAGCCACGGGACCGATTCACCGTTCCTGACCTAAGATTCGGGCCAGCATGGAGTACCGATTGCGCAGTTGGAGGGACCGTACGAAGTTGGAGGCATAGTTTACCAGGGAAACTATTGGATTCCCATGTCACGCACAATATGGCAGCAGCTAACTTTGGATCGCCGACTCTATGAATCGGAGGTTTTCCAAAAATTGAGTGTCCTGTGGGTTCCCAGAGGTGGTGATAGGCAGGACTTCTCCGGGCGGTGATCGACATACCCCGAGCCCCGTCGGGATATCTATAGATTGTGAAACTCAGCCCTTGCTTTGGAACATCATCGAAGTTTCAGCCAGTGGATGTCCCGGGGTGGGATTGGTGTATTCATCATGAGGACGATTCCGCGAAATGGGGTCCAAAGGGCCAAAAAACTCTTCGTTGCATGAAACCACAAGGCGCAGGAAATCCAACAGCAAGAGGGTCGTGCTCAGCCGGGACGGGCTGAAGCTCATACAGATTACAGAACCGGTCAGGATCAGAAGACAATCACGGCTGATCGATGACAGAAGAGACGGGATGTGCAAGATGGGGGGGGGGGGGGGGGATTGGCGACGTTCGCTGCTTTCCCCCCTGAGGACGATCTACAGCCGATGGTAACCCGGTTTGGTTCAGGGGTTATTGCAGACTCCAGAGTCTGGAGGCAAATCAAGAATCTTCCGAAGAGTGGATATGAGAAAGTTAGTTGATTGAGGGGGTTGTCATAATGGGGAGTATTGTTGCACTGAGCCGTGGCTTGAGACTTTTGGGGATCTGACATGTGTCGCAGTGGGAAACGCAAAAAGGGGGCGATAAAAATACATCATCCGTACAGAGTAAGCGGGGATGGCTAGATATCTGCACATAGTAAACGGCTAGGAGAGGATGTGAGAGAAGGGACCTGGGCAGAAGTAGTAGTTAGGCCGAGTAGGTAGGTTCAAGGAGTGTGCTCTGTACAGTATGTACTACCGGTCTACCTAGGTATAGCATGTACCTCCTGTGGCTGCAGACAATCCAAGCCAAACCCTCCCCGGAGCAGCCGACTGGAACTCCCTGCAAACTCCGTATAAGTATAGGGTACTTCAGTTCAGTAGGCCCGCCCGGTAGAACCAGGTGGTACCAGGGACATGCAGTCTCGCGCAGTTCGAGCGGGAACGCGTGTTGCCTTAGGCTGACGGGGGCCAAACCAATGGCGACTGGTGACCAGCGCGCTAAATCCAGACTAATCCAGGCTAAACCACGATCGGCGCACGAGGGTCCCTTCTCGCACTCCACTTTCTGCGCTACGCTTCTTACGCTGGGCCTCTCCGTCTCGTAGTAACACAACTGTTATTCTTTCGCCTTTTCCATTAATCTTTATTCTTCTGCCTCATTGTTATTATTAGCTTCCCCTCTTTCTCTCTTCCCTTCTCGATGATTTCTAGCCTCTGCGACAAAAACCACCCCGGTCTCTGACTATTCCTCCTACCTCTCCTCCTCTTCCCCTCTCGACTCCGGACTATTGACCGCCCAGACCGTGGCACCGTTAGCTCCATACTGTGTGCGTGTGTGTTGATATTTGGGGCTGTCTGCCCGCGAGCAGGCGCGAGGAGGACCCTGCCTAGCTGCTAGCGACTGTACACATCACGCCTCCTTATGATTCTCCGGACTGTGCTGCCCTTCGATGAACCGATCTTGTTGTGTCCCTAGCGTTGGTCGAAATGGCAGCTACGATGGGACTGGGCTTGTTGCCCATGATCAAATGCTCCAATTGTGGCATTGACGTTGAGATCTCGGCCATGGGAGATCATGTCTGTGCGAAATCAGAGCCAGGTGAGATCGATCCGACAAATACTGCTCACTGTGAAGTTACTGACTCTATTTGTGCATTGCCATAGTTGCTCCCCCGCCGTCCTCAAAGTCCGACTATGATGCTCTACCGAGAAACACGGGGCGAACGGGTCCTCCTGCTCCCATCAACCCTTCGGTTGCTAGTATGTTGCGTTGAACCCTGCTTGACTGCAATCGATATGCCTAACACGTTCAGACCGACCCTTCCTGCGACCGGAAAATGCCATCGGTGTCAACGAACCGGCCGGCCTCTCCCCGCAACCCTCCCCGCTGCGACTAGTTCAGCAGAGCCAAACAGCCGTTCCAATTCAACCACATACGTCAGAGATTGTTACCGTCGGCTCGGATGACCTTCCTCGCTTTCCTCTACCGCGTTCCATGTCAGACAAAGAGTCCGGTGCCATGACCCCGTTGGCCGATTCAAACCCGATCCCGCCCATACCCTCCCATTCATATACCAACAGCAACAGCAGACCTCCGGCGACTGCCCCCCTTCCGATAGACCTGAGTGGCGATGCTCCGCCGCCACCATTGCCCAAGGATGAGCCGTCGTCTCTGCCGAGAATTTCGCACAAGTATGGGAGCTCAATCGACAGCAAGAGTAGTTACCGGACTTCATTCGCAAGCTCTCGTTATGGCGACGGCAGCTCGAAGCGATCGACCGCGATGTCCGGTCGGCGACCGTCTTTTGGGAGTGTCAACCAACCGTACAAGTACATGCAGGACGACGCGCCTCCTGTCCCTTCTCTGCACCACACGTCGTATTCCGTGTCGGACTACAACATGTCGCGTGAGTCGAGAAATGATCGACAGGAGGACGGTGGGAGTTTTACTTTGGGAGGCTGGCATCAAACGAACTTGCAAACCGGCAATCAGCAGTTGAACTCTGGTCCGCTGCGGGTATCATCGCACACCGATTCGGATCGTCTCAGCAGCAACCGAGGATCTGCCGAGTTGTTCTTCCGGAGCCCGTCACAAACGTCATTTGAACGCTTACCTGACCCCCCTGAGTACCCTGAGCGTTCTACCTCTATCAACCCCCCAACCGAGTACAAGCCGTTTAAATCTCCTACCACTGGCACATACTTGCATCCCTCGACCCCGGACGTCGACAGTCAGGGTTATGGTGATGCGCAGAGGAAACCGTCTGACGCTACAAGCGAAGGAGCTCTCTCCGTATCAAACTTTGCTCGTTCTTTGGGGTTGGACATGCCGGAACAGGCCCCCGAGAACTCGACGGTATCCTCGGAATCATCGCCGTCGGACCTGCGCAGCGGAACATCCTTTTCCAGCGTCGCGTCGGAAGCCGGCACGCGTCGAAAGCCTTCGGAAGAAGCTCGACTGGGGCCCGTGATCGAAGAGCCACGGATTGACACGCGCCAGCAGTATGGTCTGCACACAGGGGACCAGACTGAAAGCCCGATTGACCTCGAGCCCCCTCATCTTCGGGACCCTCTTTTCAGTCCGGACTCCCCTACCGACCCTGCCATTCTTTACGGCAGCGTCTCTTTGCTCCCGGATAAAACCCACAAGGCTCTTCCGGAGCTCCCAAGCAAAATGCGGTCCGCCACAGGGCCGATGTCTCACACTCAGAACAAGCAATCCCAGGACAAGAACCTCCCGGAGCTGCCACGGTCTGCAACGGCTCCGCTGTCTCATACCGCCAACAAACAATCGCAGGACAAGAACCTTCCGGTCGTACCGGCTCTGGCACCCCCGATTTCCGCCTTCGAGGATGAGCCGTCTCGGGGGACTAGGTTCTTCCCTGACCTAGACGCGCCCATTCCTTCGCCCTCTCACATTCCTAAGAAGCCATCATGGACCGAGCGGCTTTCTCCGGAGCGACTAAGGTCGAAGCCATCGATCTCCCACATCTCCAAAAAGCAGTCACGTGAGGAGAACATTGTGCCCGACTTCCGCCGCCCGTCTCCCGAACCACATCACGTGCCTCAGCGACCATCGCGGGAGAATGTCCCTGACTTGCGCCAGCCTTCGCCGGAGCCCTCGTTTGCCAAGGAGTTGGTCCAGGAGAAACCCTACCCTAATATTCCTGGATTCTCAGTCGAGCAGCCGTTCCATATTTCCAGGAAATCATCAACGGATGAGACGTCCACGCCACCGTCAGCCTTCCATTTCCCACTGAAGCCGTCACAGGATGAGAAATTGCCATCAATTTCGACGTCCTTCCCCGAACCATACCACGTCCAGAATAAGCTGTCGGGAGAGAATAAGCTCACCCCAGTAGTGTCGGGCTTCCTGCCGGAAGCGCCTTTCCATATCGCCAAGAAGCCCTCTTGGATTGATAGATTCACGCCGGAGGTGACGAGATCGCCAACGCCGCCCATTTCTCACAGCGCAAAGTCATCTCAGGACGAGCATTCGCCGCCGCAACGATCCAAGTCACCGGCTCCTCCTATCCACTTGCAGAACAAAGCGTCTCAGGACGACAAGTACTTGCCAGAGCTGCCGAAATCCCCGGCTGAGCCTTCTCACGCTTTTAATAAGCTGTCTCAGGACGATAAATATCTCCCAGAGCTGCCGCAGCCTACATCGGAGCCTCCTTTCCACATCTCCAACAAGCCCTCTCAGAGCAATCGGCTTTCGCCTGAGCTGGTTAGGTCCCCGCCTCCGGCTTCTCACATTGCCAGCAAACCCTCCCAGGATGACAAATATCTGCCGGAACTACCGCAGCCCACTCCGGAACCTTTTATTCCTCACGTTCCCAGCAAACCGCCCCAGAGCGATCGCCTCTCTCCGGAACTGGCGAGATCACCTCCGCCCTCTCATTTCAACAAGTTGTCCCAGGATGACAAGTCTCTTCCCAGGCTGCCAGAGCCGTCCCCCTTGTTCAAGCCATCCTGGGATGGCAGACGCTCTCCCGAACCTCCTAAATCCAAGACTTCGGAGCCGTCCCACTTCCCTCAGAAGCCCATTCGGGATCCTAGGCTCTCCCCAGAACCTCCACGATCGGCCCCGCCGCCGTCTCACATCCGTCAGCCTTCACGCAACGAGAGGGCATTCCCTGAACCGAGATCCGCAGAACCACGATTCGCGCAGGAAGGTTCTCACCTTCACAATCAACCCTCGCACGACGAGAAAACTTCTCCCGAGCTGCTGAACGCTTCCATCGATCCGGCCGCGCGGTTGTCGCCACGTCCTAAGGGGCCATGCCGAGGCTGCGGCGAGGTGATCCTCGGGAAATCTGTATCTTCTGCGGACGGGCGTCTTACGGGCCGTTACCATAAGGAGTGCTTCGTTTGTTACCAATGCCGCATTCCCTTCCGAACGGCAGACTTCTATGTCCTGCGTGATCTGCCATTCTGCGCTCAGCACTATCACGAGCGCAACGGCTCTCTCTGCCAGGGCTGTCTCACTGGTATCGAGGGACAGTTCCTAGAGACAAATGAACGACAGGGCCGCGGCCCAGGTGACCGGCGGAGATATCATCCCCAGTGCCTGACCTGCCGCACTTGCAACGTTCTACTGAACGGAGAATACTTCGAATGGAACGGACAAGTCTACTGCGAACGTGATGCTCGCAGGGCCGCCGCGTCGACTCCCCCTCCACGCATGCGTCGCCCAACCATGAACTCGTCGCCATTGGCTGCACACTCTCGAGGGCCCTCCCGAGGATATCCTCCTCCACCAGGCTATCCTGGTAGAGGTCGAGGTGGACCTCGTCCGCCAGTGCCGAGGATGCCAGATACCTTGCCAGACGTTGAGATTCCGGGAATGCCAGGACCAGCGTTCCTTGACGGACGTTACGGGCCACCTCCAACTACCCGACGTTTCCCAGAACGACGAACCACCAAATTAATGATGCTATGATAAACTCGCTGTCGCCTGTAGCCTGAATACATGGATCTCAGTAGCATCCAATGCCTTCATGCTGCTGTGTCGATCTGATATATACACCCGGACACATATATACCCTTCTCTTGTTAATAGATTTTCCATACATGACTTGGTGTTTTTTGGCAGGACCTGATTGATGTATCTCGTGTTTTGATTTGATATTTTCTCTTGTGCATAATGTGGGTGTTTTCATGACGGTGTTTCGGATGGTTTGGGATATAGATTTTATCATTTGCCTGGGGTAGAATTATGTATGGATATTTAATATGAACTCCCACAATCTACTACTATTTTACCATTTAGCTAGGTGGTCTTTACACTTGCACTCTCGGCGTCCATTGGCTCGCCAAAGGCCACTAGGAGGTATTAACTAGAAGTGGACCACCTACTCCGTAACACAACACATCTTGGATCTCTTTGCACTTTTGCCTCTTTTAGAAGGTGGTTTAGAAAATCTAGTAGAATTTTATCTTCCTATGTCTATTTCTTACCTCTAACCTAATCATAATAAGGGTTCTATAGTAAAAAAGGGATATCCTTCAAGTTTAATTATCTGGACTAGTTACTTTAAATAATCCAGTAAGAACCCTCAGTAATCTCTAAGTATCTTCAATAATCCTTTTAGTCACTAAGGCACTTGCGATGTATTAATATAATAGACTGCCTTCTATAATAGGCAAATTTAGTGCACTGCTGTCTTTACATCTCCACCAAGGCAGAAATAGCCGTCAGGTGATCGACTGCGGGGATCTTGAGGCTGAAGACTTGTTCTATGGCCATTCACCCGCTCTCCACCAAGGACTAACTCAGGATCATCATGTCTTTTACTGAAGTCTCCAAAGTCCATTCAGTTTCGGCTACACAGCCACATCCCATCGACATGCCCTCACCTATAGTCGTGGAAGCCGAACCAGAGGCGCCTGCTCTGCTCAGTCGAACGGTTGCAATCATTGCCTGCTTTACCAGCATTACAGGCATCGGTATTCTCCTTGCTGGACTCCTAACTGTATGCATCCTGGTGATCTCCAAAGACATACATATCCCACCAAATTTACAACTTCGGCCAGCCTCTACCTTCGCGCTTGCCTGTGGCTGCCTGCTACTCCCATGCGGTGCGATGGCCGACGTCCTAGGATGCCGACGGTCCTGCTTACTTGGTGGTCTAATTCAGACCGCAAATGCCCTTGGATCAGGGCTTTTAGCCACCTCGACCCAGCGCATCGCGTGGCGAGTGACAGCGGGTCTCGCCGCATCATTCTGTCTGCCTGGAGCCGTCGGCGTCGCTGGTCACACCTTCTCCGCGAGCATCAGCCCGCGCCGTTGTAGTATTGCATTTGCTGCTATGGGCGGTGGTCAAGCTACGGGTTTTGGACTGGGCTTGGTCCTGGGAGGTGTGTTTTCTGATACAGTCGGCTGGCGCTGGGGTTTTCATGCCACGGCCATTCTCAACGCGGTTATACTTGCATTGGTCGCTTGGTCACTCCCGACTACTATAGACGGGCCACCATCATTCTCTCGTCTAGCACATGAACTTGACTGGGTTGGTGCTCTGCTCATCAGCATCTGCTTTGCGCTTCTCTCCTACGCGTTAGACGTCGCCACAGGATCAGAAGCTAGTCAGAGCATGCGCGAACCCCTAAACCTAACCCTTCTCTGTGTCGCAGTAGCACTCATACCCGCATTCTGCCTCTGGATGCGTCGTCAATCTCGCCTTTCTCGACCCGCCTTGATCCCCAATTCCCTATGGACTAATGTCCCATTCACATCGATATGCATCACCGTCTTTCTATCCTGGGGTGCCTTAAATGCCAGCGAACAGCTCGCCGCCCTCTACTTCGAAGACGTCCTCGGCAAATCCACCCTAACTGCATCGCTGTACTTCCTCCCCGCCCCAATCTGCGGGCTCCTGACGCACATAGCCATAGGTGCATTTCTCCCCCTCTTACGACCTTCAATAGCCGTTCCAATCGCTTGTTTCGTAAGCGGCATCGCCCCATTATTACTAGCCACGCTATGCCGTCTCGACGGCCTAGGTTACTGGCAGGGTATCTTCCAAGCAATGGCGCTTAACCCGCTCGGCGCGGACCTCATATACACGATTGCGATTCTGGTGATGACGGCGGCGTTTCCCGCGCAGACCCAAGCGCTAGCAGGTGGTGTGTTTAACATGTTATCGCAGATCGGTAAGAGCGTGGGGATTGCGACGTCGGCGTTGATTGCGAGGCAAATTACGGAAAAGACGGGGAAGACGAATAGCATGGAGGAATTGTTGATAGGGTATAAGGCCGGTTGGTGGTATAATTGTGCGTTGGGGGTTTTTGGCGGTCGTGGTTAGTTTTTGGGGATTGAGGAGTGTGCAGAAGGTGGAGGTTAAGAGGGATTGATTTGTTTGGGTATATTGAGGAGGTTTCATAAAAAATGGAAATACTTTCTAGTGTAATCTTTCGGCTATGGTTATTTTTGTCGAAACAAGGGAAGACTGGTTGATAAGAATGATAAAGGATCATTGAGCATAGGTAGAAACCGCCTGGGGCTTTATTCCGCCCCAGGCTTTATATTCTAGGTCCATTGTCTCGCCAGCATGAATGGGATATTGACGCTTCATGACTATCGTTGTGTGGAATGATGCATGCGATTGGTACTGACAAAATCCTGATGATATTTTAAGTCTTTGTCAATGGACAGTGACTGATAACGTTTCTTTACCTGTGATAACAAAGCTATTGTCAATAGAAGAAACTTGAAAGTTGTCTTACGCCCTCAGAGAATATTCAGTTATAAGTGCACCCATCAATTCCAGGTAGCACCGTGATGAAAACAATTGGTATCCTACCTGAACGTCTCTTTTAACCCCTCTAGCTCCTCAATGGACAGCGCACAGATGGCACTATAAAAGGCGACCATTACCCTCGATAATATAACCTCAAAAGTCCTGACAACAATATCACCAACCCACCTTTCCAAATCAAAAGAAAAAGGAAACACCTCAAAAGATCTCTTCCAAGCCAAAATGTGCTTGAATATTCTAACAAATTTCGGCTTCTGCGGACATATGGAAGCGCACGTTGAGATGTGTGCAGACGCACTCAAGAGTGGAATTATGTGTCCTGCGAGCCGGCGAAGAGATTACTGGAACCCAGCGCACGATGAACCGGATCTGTCCTGTCGGTATTGTAGGGGTTGACGCCCCATGATTCGCTTTCGCCTTGATTCTTGGGTTAGTGCTTGGGTTTCTCTGATTATACAGTACATCGACCATTTTTTGGCCCGTAGCTTTGTTTACAGTCCATTGTCTCGCCAGCCAGAATTGAATGGTGACTAATGGTGATTCCTTAACCATTGTATGAACAAAGCAATTGATACAAGAAGAAACCTAAAGGCTGTACAATGCCAACTGGAGAATATGTACTTCCAAAGTATTCTCATGGATGTCAGGTAGCACAATCTCAGAACAATTGGCATCTTACCCGGGCCTATCCTTTACTGTATCTTCTAGCCCACTAGGTCCTCGATAAAGAGCACATATATAGCACTATAAAAGGAGCCATATCCCGCAATACTAAAAATTATAACATTCGCATCCATCAAAATCACCAACCTAACCCACTTTCCCAAATCAAAACCCAAATATCTGCAAAGGAATACCTGAAATAGCACTACCCATCCAAAATGTGTCTAGATATGGTCGGCTTCTTCTACGAATGCACTCACTACGAAGTCACGCGCGTCGCGATGTGTGCGGCGGCAATCCACAGAGGGTGCATGTGTCCTCCTGACCGGCGAATTGAGTACTGGCACGAAGACGAAGATAGAATGGATGAGTCCTGTCGGGTCTGTCTTGGGTTGACACCTCCTCATACCCCCATTAACTTTCAGCGGGGGTGAAGGGGAGATGATTATATTTCATGGGTGTTGGGTTTATGTATCCGAATGACTATGAAAGATCTTTGGTTGATATTAACGTTTTATATATAGATCCTTTCTGAGGACTGGCTAGGTATAACGTAGGAGTAGTTGAGGGACAACTTTAGAGAGCAGCTTTGCTCAGCTCCTAACTGTACTCTGTAGATAGAGTCAAGTGTAAATATGGTTCATCTTCTATAGAATAGCACAATGGTTTCCAAGATAGAGTACATTATCCTGTGCCCTCGACCTTCGACGATATAAGGGAGGGCAGGACATAACCAGAGTATATTATCTGTTGGCGATACTGCCGCCGCAGTCCGCCTTCCCTATATGGCGGCTTGGCAAACCCACATATCTCAGTTAGATAGCG